TTGGTGCCCAGTGCATTTTCAAGACATGAGTATCATTGTGCTTTATTCCTGTAATATTCTAAAATCCCTCTAATCCCACAAAAAGGGAGTAAAGCCAGACTCCAGAAATTATCCTCGTTCAGGAAGCACTGTGTATTTAGGTCGACTGTACTCTTCATTGGCTACTCATCATTGCACTATAGACACGTTTTGCTAAACTGCTGTACGTTCTCATGGCAGTATAAACACTTTCTGCAGTATAAACGTAAGTCAGCTTACCCTGAGGGTTCCAGAGAGACATTAAAGCATGCATACTGTGTGAAATCTAAACTGCACAATTAGAGCCATTTGAACACCTCTGTGTATTTTCAAGTTGGCTGAATTAAACATAATTGGTTTTGGAAGATACTTAAAATGTCAGACAGATGAGCTCTGCAACAAATTGTAGTGTTTAAGAATTAGTTAAGGCTGCAAGTACCAAATTAGAGGCATTAATATATTCTAGCTGAACCAGTCGTGCCCTATAAATTAGTTTAGCTTGCTTTTGTGGTGACAACTCATAGTACATCATCCAAACTTTCCACTGTATGCATGAAGTTGGTCGGAATTCTACAAGCAGCCTGTAAGAAAAGAATTAATACGCATCACATTTTTTTCTCTGCGTGATGAGAGGCATGTGAAAGTTACAGACTGTTGAAATACAGAGGGGTTTGTCGAAATGTATTTATTTATGCATATTAGGTGTGTTTTTTCTTTCCAGCATTTTGAAGCCCTCGTAACTTCATAAGTACAGGAGAAACAAGACATTTTCAGGGCTTTGATCTCTGTAATCAAATCAGTATTACATCCACTGCAGGCCAAAATCTCATCAGCATGATTTTTTCTTTAACCAAATTTGAGCATCAGTATCGTGCGATATTGTTTTTGCAGAACCGCATTAGTTTGATGTTTGTGACATAGGGTAATAGAAAAAAAGTCATTGATACATTGGGTATGTTCTCTGTTTTCTAGTTATTCATTTGGACAAAACTTCATTTTGGGTAAATTTTTCAGGATCGTATTACTATCTGGGATAGGTTCACTTTATGTAGAAGGACACAATACTGACATTTGCATGGGGGACACAAAGTTATGTTGAATTCTAACACATTCCTTGTTTAAACACACAGCTCAATGTCTCACGCTGAACTCTGATGAGCTTCTGAAAGATACAAATTTAAACACAGATTGGGCTTTTGGAGAATTATTGTCAGTTATCTGAAGCCAATCCTGTGTTTGACAAATGAAGCTAGAATCTTCTAGTCAAGTTACAGATGTGTTAGTATAATATCACCTCCTGGTGCATCAGCCAAATTTCAGAGAAAGAAGGAAAAGGGGATTGTTTTCTGATCCCCATAAAATACAAAAATTCTAATAATAATGCAGACATTTTTTAAACCCATGATTGTTGGTCCGACAACTTCCTGTGCAATGTAGTGAGGTGAAATGCTTTTTTTTTTTTTTTTTTTTTTAACACAAAGACATTATTTTACACATTGTATGTGCCGTTGATGTCAAACTATTCAGAATTTCAAATAAACGTAAACGTCAAATTGAGCTTTCCAGTCCTGTGAGTTATGAGCAAATTTAATCTTCGTCAGCCAGGGAGTTGTTGGTCCACAACTAGCGATAAAAACCAGGAAGTAGTGAATTTGAATGGAAACCGTCCATTGAAAGTCATTTCCTAAAGTGTTTGAACGGCGTAGATTTGCAGGAAAGGAAATAAAAAAGGGATGGAGAGCCAGTGAGTCAGAGGAATGCACAAGGGAGAGCAACTTAAACTGTGTGTGAGAGAGCGATATTGTGTGAATGAATGAATCCGATAGTAAAGGTGAAAGCTGGAAACACAATCAAGTCTGTTAAAACACAATACATGCACATGTTATCAGCAAAGGCCAGCATGCAATAAAATACCTCCCCATGGCAGAACGGCCATAAAAAAAACAAGACCTTTAAACAACGTAAATGGTTAAAATACTTGAATAGGAACTCACTGTTAAAACATCATGTGGTGCCAGAAAAAAAAAAGAAATGATTATATGGTCATATATACCTCACAGCCACAACTTTAAAACCAGATGGTTGTTATGAGTAGTATGGTTATCACATTGTAAAGGCTCCTGTCAGTGGGTGGGATATATAATAATTCTTAGGTAGCATGTGGACATTCAATTCTTATAGTAATGTGTTGGAAGCAAAAAACTGTGTTGTGTAAGAATTTTGAGTGACTTTAACAAACTGTGATGATGAGACTGGGTCAGGGCATTTCCAAAACAGCAGGTGTGGTGGTGTGTTCAAGTATGCATCGGTTGAGAGCTACCAAAGGTACCAAAGGTAGACTGAGGAAGGACAACCAGTGACAGGGACAGGGACAGGGACGCCCAAGGCTTACTGATGTGTTTGAGGAGTGAAAACTTGTTTGTGTCGTCCAATCCCACTGAGGAGCCATCAATAACACTGACAGTGGACCATGAACGTCAGAACTGGACTGTGGAGGAATGGAAGCAGGTGACCTGGTCTGATGGCTGGATGCATGTGTGTCCTTTACCTGGGAATAGTTTTCAGTGACACTTGCTCAATGTTATACAAGGAAACTTAACTTAAACATTATTGCAGACATTGTTATCAGCAGGATAATGCTCCCTGCCACCCTGCAAACATTGCTCAGGAATGGTTCAAAGTGTTGACTTGACCTCCAATTTCCCAATCGGGCATCTGTGAGATGTGCTACAACAAAGAGTCAGATCCATTGAGGCCAGATCTTAACTTAAAGGATCTTCTGATAATGTCTTGGTGCCTGATGCCACAGTACACCTACAGAGGCCTGTGGAGTCCAGGCCTCAGCGGGTCAGAGCTGCTTTGTTGGCACGAGGAGGAGCTACAAACACAAGACAGGTAGTTTTAATGGTTGTGGCTTATCGGTTTAAACCCAAATTTGAAATAAAACTAGAACTCACAACTTAAAAAGCACAAGAAGAAGTACTTTGCTTTGCAGACAAAGTTGGGTATTATTGTGTAGCTTTGTGTCTTATCTCTCACCTCAGTTTATTCAGTTGCTTATTTTCAAAGCGCTTGCCAGGTTTTTCTAATGTAAGTCAAACCGTGGGTGGTTCCAGGAAGCGGTGAGTTCGTCCATACAGGTACAAAAAGGGCTTTTGCATCATGTTTCATCAAAACAGAGCGCTTCTCACTCAGTTGTCTGTTGGTCACCAGCTGATATCATTATGTGCAAAGGAGGTGATCAAACTGTCTTACCTCAAGGTCCTTTCGTTTTCTGGACCTTTTACTGTTTCAGATGATCATCAGCAGATGAGAAAAACTACAATGTAATTTCCATCAGTGCCTACAAATAAATACTTGCTGAACTGGTGTTGAAAGTAGCATTCAGGTATATCACCAATCTGTTCAAATGTTAAACCAAAATTTTTGAAGAACATGCTTTTGCTTTGTTGTCATGAAATTTATACTTTCAAAATAGTTCCACAATACATTGCAGTGTGCAAAACGTGTAAGGGTTTATAAATTCATTATGAATCTACTGTGTGCCAACAGCCCTTTAATATAAATTAAGGTTGCCTGAACTCTACGATCCATTATTACACAGCTCGGTATCTCTTTGCACACTAACTGATGGATGTATTTTACTTAAGCAAAATGATCTTGTTGTGCTGGAAACCTAAACAGCATATAGGTGTCAAATTTTGTTTGGTTATTTCCTTGATCTCCTTTAATGATAGGTTCACAATACACAACAGCCTAAAACAATAATAAGGTTCCCATATGACCACTAATGCTCGGCTCAGATTAGAGGAGTTTTAAAACCTTACCTGGTTTTAAAATCGGGTTGCGTCACAAGGAGAAACTTCACAGATATTCTTGTCTTCAATCTCAGACATGCACACAACACCAAGATATTTTTAAGAATACTGTGCCACATAGGTCAATCAGGGGGTAATGCACCACCTCACATGATCTCATTGGGAAGCAGATGTAAACCAAATGGAGACTGTGGTCCAGCAAGTTATTGTAACACTAGTAAGACTTTGCAGTGAGAAAAGCATAAAAGCTAAATAATGATCAATTGTGGAGTTTTTGACGAGGAAACTTATTCAAAACCTGCATTTCTAGCATCCTCCTTCTAATTGTGCCAACAAAGTATCCAGCTAAGGTTTGTGCCGATATTGGATAAGTTGAAAGAATGCCTCGATCGACCCAGACCCCGATCTTTAGGGTCGGATCATCATTCCTATCTGAAGCTAATACTGCGTTTGACAAATCAAGTGAGAATCTTTCAAAGTTAGAGATATTTTAGTATATTAGCTCCTGGTGTTTCCTGGGAGCTGGAGTCGAAAGTGTGTAAGCAGTGAAATGATTGAAATTAAACTTCTGTAAAAGGACAGAAATAATGTGTTTGGTGATTTCCAGAAGATTTTTTTCCTTCCTTTTGATCACACTTCTCACTCCTGTGACTCCAGTCCTCAGTGTTTGTCTCTCTTTGACCAGTTAAGAGGACTCAGAGATGAGAGAAAAGCATTAGGAGGGTTTTTTTTCTCCCTCCCTGCTGGGTTTTGGCCACACTCTGCAGGCAACAGGTTTAAAGAGTAATCCGATTAAAAGCCGGGGTGAAGCAGTCAGCCTCAGTCGATGAAGGAGAAAGATTAACTCTTTCATTGTTTGGGGGTCTATTTCCACTTTTGTCTGTCCTTTTCACTCCTTTTTGTTTGTTTGTTTCTTCCTCTCTCTCTCTCTCTGGGATGAGAGTGGAAGCACAAGAGTGGAGGAATGTGAACTTCTGAGGAAAGTTCAAATGATGTTTTACCCTAAACACAATGGGCTGAGATAGGTACATACCAGGTTTTTGCCTTTTGCACATCTGTGTGTGCTAAACTGTTTGTTTGAGAAGTGAAATAAAACTCTCTATAGCTTCATCTTTTTTCTTTTTTTTTTTCCATTTCTCAAGCAGCTGTTGTTATTGCTTTCAGGTTACAGTGCGACTGTCAGCACAACACCTGTGGCGTGTCTTGTGACCAGTGCTGCCCCGGATACAACCAGTTGCCGTGGAAACCGGCCACGACCTACAGTGCCAATGAGTGTGAACGTGAGTATGGCCCAATACTATGCGCCGGCACACACGGGGTTTAATCACTGAACCCTGCAGAGGAATGTGTTTCATGTTTGGGTTCAACAGAACTAGTTGGCCCTAATTTAATGAAGCTGAACAGACAAATGGGCTGCAGGGCTGCTGCTGCTGCTGCTCGCTTCCCTTGCAACTTTCTCACATTTCAGTGGAAGGAAATGTTTCAGGATTTTGTGGTTAAAATGCTCAATGTATTTTAAAGATATACATTCATTCATTCATTTATTTATACTGCGAGATTGCTCTCTATTTCAAGATTTAAGAATCTGACTTTATGTTCCACAAATGGTTTTGAAAGGTTTTGTAGAAAGTTTATTACTGTAATCTGTATTTCAGAGTTACAAGGTGTTTTGCAATAAAGGGCGACAATAAAATATTGAAGAACAGCAATGAAACTTTTTTTTGAAAAAGGCAATAATTCAGAAAAGATAATAAAGCATTAAAAGGTGCCAAAAACCCCAAAGCATCAAATGTTTGCCACCTGTCAGTAGTAAAAATAGAGCTCAAGTTCCTTTTAATCAATTAATTTTAATTCAATTTTATGTTCGTTTTTATGTTCATATTTCATATTGAATGTGGAAATAATGCTTATATTTCCTGATTCATACATATTGACTCCTAAAAATACAAAAAAGTAGAGTCAATACTTCTAAAGTTTGAATTGACAGGGATGCAGTACTTTTGGAATTAAGATATAGTACACTTGCACTCATTCTGATTGGCTACTGTCAAGTATTTTATCAAGATTCGCAGCTAAAAGCTTTGATCCTGCCCAAAAACAATGTCTGACTGTTCCCCGTTTGAGACTGTTGGTATGAACTTGGTGTTATCATAACTCCGTTTATATTTACACATGAGAGCCATCTGTTATCAAAGCTCTAGTTATATTTAACAAGAGCCAACATGGATATCACAATGGCGGAAAGTTCACTAAAGGTCAGCATGATACGAGAAAAACTACAGAGAATGAGATGCAGGCACATTTTTTGTTATAGTAGTATGGTGTAAGATGAGACCGTTCACACTGCAGTGAGAAGTTATCCTCGCAAGATCTAATGAGAGATGTGACAGAATAAAAGATTGCATTTCCAGTGCCTTTTAGCCTTGAGTTCACCTTTAGTTAAGTTTACCAACCAAACAGCACATCAGAGATGTCGTAGTTCGAGGACTGTCATTCAGTTGAAAATGTCTGTTTTACTGTGTCTGGCTTTGAAGTATTTCAAGTTCAAGTAAGGAAAAACTCAAATGTGCCTCAGCCATGAGAAAAACACTACACTATCATGCTGCAGTCAGAGCTGGAGGATAAGGAGCGCTGGTTTATTCAACGGCACCTCTCAGGCGCTGAGAGTCAGATAAGAACAAAAAGCTATCAGGGTTTCACTGGCTGTGTGTGGAGTGTAAAAGTTTGTCTGGGCTTTGAGCTCGTGTTCTTCTTCTTAAGTATACAGTTCTCTTTCTTTAATCTTCTGGTAGATTACAGGGTCTTCTTACTGAATGTTTACATGTAATGTGCTCAGGTTAAGTGTGGGCCATTGGACTTTGGTGACACAAGTGGAAATTAAGTCATTCAGTTGGTGCTTTCCCAAATTATTTCTTTGGAGTGATTTTTATTTTATTAATTTTTTTATTTGTAGTTTAGTCAGTGATAGGACAACACAATATATGTTTTCAGCCATGACTTTACGATGTGATTACACATAATGATAAAAATAAAAATCGTGGCTCCACATATCAAAAATATTTTACTACTTTACTCCTTAAGTCTATCACTTACATTTTGAATTTTACTCCTAAATGTATCATGTAAACACAGCCTGCAGTTCAGCTCAGTTTTTGAAATGAGGCTGATGGTCACTGAGTTGCTCTCAGTTGTGTTGAGGAGCTCAGAATTTTTAAATTTTCTGGCTTATTGCTGTTTTTGGCGAATCTTTTAATGAAACATGTAGAATCCAGAGATTTTGTTGAAATATCTCAAACTTAAGTTTATATTTGTTTAATGTTTCTGATGGAACCTAAAGTAACACATGTGGAGGTCATGGAGCACCAGAAAGTTTAAAATCCGCCGATCATGTTTCACAGTTCTATTAAGAATGATTTACTGAGCCTAAAAACCACCAGACTGTAATCAGACATTAAATAAACCTTTTATGGTTCAGAAAACATCCTCAGCCTTCCTATCTCGACTTCAAACCATCTGATAAGTGACTTTCATCAAGTCTTCCTGCAGGAAACGATTCAGCCTGTGTGGTTGTATTAATCACAGCTTCTCTCATTTCAGTATTTTTAATTTGTTTGGAAACAAACACGTGATATATGATCCTCGGCAGTGTGTAATCTCCTGTGCTCAGTGAACACCTGCCAGAGGAGACGGGTTTCAAAACAGCAGCTACATTTGAAGTGACTTCACAGAGCTGACTGAGATTAATGTCTTGAGGTTTCAAAAAATGTGTTTTTTTACTTCAACACTCGATTAAACTGCTGCCTACATGCTGTACTTACTAGTTGCTGCTAACTAACTGCTTGTTTTCCTCTCTAAAGTCTTTCCCCTCATTTCTCCTGCTCTGCTGCTTCTTGTCTTTTGGCTAGAAGCTGTTTGTACCCTCCAGGTGAATGCCAACACTCTTGTTATGTTGTGTTTGTGAACATTTGTGCAACTGTCCATTTATGTTTTTTGTTAGTTCGCTCGTTTGCGATTCACGTGATTGAATACACTTAAGCTAACAAAGACATGTTGTTGGTCCTTAATAAATGAAAAATACAATCACTTCCCAAAATTGTATAAACATCATCATCTGGAGAATAAATATGAAAGTATGCAAATGTTACAAATAAATAATAACTGAATACAAAATACTACAGGCTGGGCTTTCACAGAGAATCACTCAAATGTACCTTAATTGGACAAAAATACAAGTAAGGTACATTTATTAGCCTTCTGAAGCTTTCAGCACCATCCCTGAATCATTAGCCAATAACTTGTCATCCTTTCACACTCTTTGAGTTTGATGATCACTTGATGGCTGCACCAGACAAAATATTCTTCTACTCGACTTGCAGTCGTTAATTCGGGTCATTATTTAACTAGTTGTCGCGTGTTTATTGTACTCATCTTTTGATTTCCCAGTAGTGTTTGGCCCATTTTTCCCTACAATATAAAGTCCTGCAGCTCAATGGAAACAACACAGTCATTGCTGGATTCAGAGAAAACTCAAAAATATCTTCTGTGCAGCATGACAAAGTTATACTGCGATAATGCTTTATTTTACAAAAAAAAAAAAAAAAAGAAAAAACAACCCCAACTCCACTTGAACGTTTTTTTTAAGTGCCCACACTCATTGCCAACACTGGAAAAAATATGTTGATTAAAATCGATATTTTACCACTTATATTTTGAGTCCGTGTTCCTACTTGTCTCCTGCAAATATTTTTATTTGCATCTTGTATTATGACCTGCTTCAGTGAAGTTGCTAGCTATAAGTGTCTTTAACTATCCTTGTTTCAGCGTGTAACTGTCACCGGCACTCTTTTGACTGTTACTATGACCCTGAGGTTGATCAGAAGCGAGGCAGCCTCGACATCCACGGACACCACAGAGGAGGAGGCGTCTGCCTCAACTGTCAGGTAACCGACGCTCCTGCTATATTAATGTGTGAGATGACTCTGAGTGGCTGCTGAACTGGTTTCAGCCATGACAGCGTAAATGTAATGGAAGCTTCTCCCTCTCAGCATCACACTACCGGAGTCAACTGTGAGCGCTGCATCCCCACATACTACAGGTCACCTGACCATCCCATCGACTCCCCGCTGGCCTGCTCGCGTGAGTTGCTGCCGTCGGATCACAACGCAACAGATCATTTAAACAAATCTGCATTTCTTTTGTTTACAGCTTCAAGTGCTGAGCCACTGTGTTCTTCATTAACTGTCCTCCTTTCATTTGTTTGGTTGCCTTCTTTCCCTGTCACATCCTCCTCCTCCCTCCCTCTGCTTCCCTGCAGCCTGTGACTGTCAGTCAGAATTTACAGATGGAACCTGTGAGGATATAACCGGCCGTTGTCTCTGCAAACCAAACTACACCGGAGAGAATTGTGACTCCTGTGCCAGTGGCTTCATCAACTTCCCCGAGTGTTACCGTGAGTCACAACAAAAGAAACAGGCCAAATGCTGATTTTGGCATCCAAATAGACACTGGACCGGAGAGGTGTAGATTGGGCTTTTGTCGAGTCAGCTGACGCAAAGAAAGCCTGGCTTTGTTAAACTGGCTTTTCGGTACACCTTTTTGTAAAAGCATCATTAACAGACACAATATTAAAATGAAATCCACATGCAAAGTAAACACGAACAATAAAACCGCGAAGTAACTTTTTAAAAAATAGTTTTCCTGGTTTTTGATGTCTCTCTCTTTGTCATCCCATCAGCCATCCCCACGTATCCCACCAACAGCAACAACGGTGAGGCCAAACCAGCTGGAGAGATCATCAGTAAGTTACCTACAGCTGGTGCAGAAGAACAAAACATTACATGAACATTTTACAAGTGTGACAACAACAGACAGCGATCCCATATATACACAGAAAACAATGACACACAAAAAACATACTATATGCACACAAATGTATAAAAAGAATTTAAGATTAAATACTAAATACAGCGTAAGGAGTTCAGTTCAGACTGAATAGAATGTCCTTGCAGAAATGTACAAATAGGTTTCTCTCACTATTAAAAGCAATGAAACCTAATCATAAATTGAAACAAATTAAAATAATAATAGAATAAAATACTGACCTTACATTGCATATTGTATGTGAGGTTCCCATGTTCTCTCTTGCTGCCTGGCTTTACAGCATAAGTCAGATGTTTGTGGGAGTTTTGGGAAAATCAGTGCGCTGCGAATGGCATTTCAGCAGAATGCGATAAGCTGGCCTCAAACAATGCTCAGTCCGACGTCATAGATACACGATAGCAATTATGTGCAACCACCTGCCTGCTGTCGGGCAGCTTGTTTGGTTTGTTTGTTTGTGATAAATACAGCAGGGTTTGTCATCGCTCAGAATGGGCATTTGGAGGTCACGGTCCAGGACAGTAAGCGTGATTCAAGTACACACTGTAAATGATTCTGTTACCTTAGTTGACAGAAATCCACGTTTTTGTGTTGTTTCTAAGGATTGGAAAACAAAAATGTCTATTATATTTCAGTGAGTGAAGCTACAGTTACCTGAACACTGAACAGTTTCTTTCACATTGTTAGTCACTGTGGGCTCATTTTTAACTGCAATATAAAGACCTGCACCTCTATGGAAACCTCACAACTACGACTAGCACTAGGTGTAATTCCAACATGTCTTATGTGCTGTATGATACAGTTATAATTTAAAGTTGTGTTAATTATATATTTTGCAAAACTTGATCAAAGCTGGATTCAACATGTACAACATTTTTCCAAGAACCCACAGACGTTACCAACGCTCAGAAAAGAAATGCGGTGACTTTACGTACTGTAAATATTTAACTATTTACATTTTTAATTTGCTGCCAGACAGTTTCCTCTCTGCTCTGTGTAAACAAAGCCTGCAGTTTAGCCAAATAGTCTGATTTTTGTCACATGATTCACTCGGGAGTCACTTAAGGCTTCACTGTTGCACTGAAGAGCATAGACATTTTTGTTTTCTACAAAATCTGCTCAGACCAAATGGTTTATTTTTGTCATTTTGGGATTTTATTTTTTTTTTTACAATGAGGCATGTAGAATAAAGTGGTTTTGATTAGATTAGCCTGAATTTGGTTAAACTACAGTCTGTAGCTCGAAAAACTGCAATCCTTAAGTGTTAGATAAAACCTCTTTGGGCGGCACCAAACATTCCTCTGTATTGAAAAATGCCTGTATAATTTGGAAAACAGAACTTTATTCATTGTGATCATAGAGAATAACTCCAACTAAATGTCCTGTAGGATTTTTTATTTACTACTCATCCTCTCTTTTCTATGTTAATTTGACAAGAAACATTAGAGACAATTCATCAAACCCAACAAACATGTGCGTCTTCTCTCTCCAGACTGTGAGTGCAGTGCAGCAGGTACAGTGGACAACTCGTGCAGGCCGGACCCTCGGACTCGAACCTGTATCTGTAAACCAGGTTTTACTGGTGACCACTGTGACACCTGCGCTCCAGGCTTCTATGGACTCAACTGTCAGGGTGAGACATGGATATTTTTGTAGAATTGCAATATTTGGAAATTTGGAACACACAGACTGTCACTGATCTCATATAGAGAAAAAGAAATCACCTCAAAAAAACAATTTAGCACACAATATACAATGCAAATGGCCTAAAATTTTTTCTCTGTAAAATAAACAAATATCCAAGAAAGATTTTTGCGTGTGACTCGAGACAAAAATACGATTTTAAAATTTGCAGGAAACGACAGTCAGCTTTTTAAAATGGTAAATAAGAACAACAAAAGTGACAAATATTGAATTTATCATCACAAGGATTTTTCTATACATATTCATCCATCTCGAAATTGTATGATTAGACGGGCAGGATAGTTGGTGAAACCAGTGAAATATGAAAGTATTGTTGTCAATAATGCAGATTACAGAATATTTTATGGCACCAGACATGAAGAAAATACAACTGTGATAGTTGCATTTTTTGTCGAAACATTCCAAGACTGAATACCTTTGTTGAAGCTTAAGTCTATGTCGACTACCTGTGTGACGAACATAACCTCAAGCTAATGTGAGTCTAAATTAACAACCGATGATCCCCTCCAAGCCATTGGGTCATGCAGGTTGCAGTCGCAGTCGAATTACCGACATTTGCGGTGAGCTAGTGTTGCATTTTATGGATCGTGTCCCATTTGTTTCACACACATGTGCACTCAAAAATACAAACGCACAAACAAAGGCAGGAATTCGTGACGCTTCATTTATCGGTTTGTTTATTTATACAGTGTTAGTTTACCACCCAGGACTAGCCACCTCACACATACTCACACACTCCTGAGTAAACAGCATTCCACTGAGCTGCGTTAATCACTGTAAATAGTTTCACATTTACACCTTTGCTTCAGTCAGTGAGGCCAGTCAACACAAACGCAGCCATCTTTGAAATACTTTAAATAAATGTCCAAACAAACAAACGGTCCAATGTTTTGTACTCTTGTGTCTTAGTTTTTATGAATGTTTATTGCTCTGTATTGGGCCTGTTTTGTGTGGCTAACTCTGTGTGTCTGTGAAGCCTGCCAGTGTTCAGGTCCGGGATGTCTGGACGGGTCATGTGACCTGGTGACCGGCCATAGCGTGTGTCGGAGCGGTTTCCAGGGTTACCAGTGTGACCAGTGCGCCCCAGGTTACTTCAACTACCCGCTCTGCCAACGTGAGTCATTTCTCTATCAGCGGGTGTCTCCCACCTTTCCTCGAATATACTTTATAGACGCCAAGTGTTTCCGAGTGTCTCTCAGCATCTAAAACTAAGCGAATGAAAAGCTGACGTCATGACAACATCGGTTCCACACTAAACCTCTAGTTTATCTTAAAACAATCTTAAAATGTACTTTTTTCACAAAGTTGTTAAATTTAACTTGTTTAAGTGCACCTTTTAGACATGTCAGCAACTGAAATTTTCAGCTTTTTGATTTTAACGTTCTGAATTTCAAGCAGTTTCTGTTTGTTTGTTTTTTTTGCTCACTGTGATTGTTTTTCACTGTTACACAAAAGTTTTGCACCTCTATGGGAACAGCACAATCATGACTAGAAGTAGAGAGAACGTAAAGATATAGTTTGTGCAGTTAAGTTAAGTTATAAAGCCATAAATCATAGGAAAGAAAAAAGCAAACGTTTATTTATTTGATTATTTATTTTCAAAAAATAAAGGAAAAACTTGCAATCAGCATGTGCAGCATTTTTCCGAGTGCCCACAGGTGCTACAAATGCAAGCAAAAATGTGAACTCTACATACTATAGATATTTTACTGCTGTTATTTTTATCTTGTTCCCATATATGTCTCGTCTCTGCTCTGTGTAAACACAGCCTGCAGTTAAGCCTAAAAATCCCTGAATTTTCGTCACTTGACTGTCGATCACAGCTGAGTCCGTCGTGGCTTCTCAGCTGTGCCGAGGAGTGCAGAATTTCGGGGATTTTACAGAATGTAGTTATTGCAATTAGCTCATTTTTGGAGAAAATGTAAAGAGCCATATAGAATAAGCAATTTTAATTGAATATCATGGTTTTTAGCTTTTGGTTATGGTTATATTCAACAGTTCTGTCAGCTTTTACCATTTCTGGCTTATCAGTGGTGTTATTTTTTGTCTTGTTTTTCTCAAGCTAACATGCCTTCCTTCAAAGTTCAAAAATAAAATACACCTTCCAACACCTCTGAAACTCAGTAATTAACATGTTGTATCTTGTTTGTTCATCAGTGCGTGAACAGAAAAACAATAATTACAGTTTGTAGATTTATAGGTTCATTTGCTGTAATTACTTCCTTGGAAATCGCCACAGAGGCCTCCTGAGCTCTTTTCATGCCTGTACAGACACCAAAAACAAACCTGTGCTCAGTGATAATATCTGGCAATTCTCACTAGGGCTAGAGACAGTGCATGAACACTTAATGTTTTTACCAACAACAATTTAACACTGCACAGTTTTCATGACACCGAGTACAGTAAATGTACTGATTGAGTACAGTGAGACTCAAGATCCAGATATGCAGCTGGAGATAGCCAGTTTATGCCACAGTTTGTCTTTTAAATGAGCTGCAGTAGGCCTATTTAGGGAACCAAATCGTCCTCTGTTATACCATACTGAATGTAAAGTGTCCTGTAAAACTGGAGATGAATCACCTGTGTATGATCTGTAACAACAAAAGCTGATGATCGGATATGTTCGGTGTCTCTTCAGTGTGTGGCTGCAGCACAGTCGGCTCTCTGCCCGAAGGCTGCGATGCTTCTGGCCGATGTCTGTGTAAACCAGAGTTTCAAGGTCCTCGATGTGAACAGTGCAGATCTGGGTTCCACTCCTACCCCAACTGTCAAGGTACGCACGCATGTCCTGAAGAAAAAGTCTGATCAGATGCATCCGTTTCTGCTGATCCCAACGTACTGTCATGAAAAGAGAGAGCTTGATATCCTGCCAAACTGAACACATTTGACTTGCATAGAGACTCGCACATGGAAACACTTAACTTTATGCACCTTCTTATGAAGTGTTACATCACCTCGTTAAATTTTACGATACGTTGTTGGGGTTCAGCATTTCGAGCGCCAAAAAGAGCACAAAGTAAAAGCAATCAAGCTGTTGTAAGGAAAGGATATTTCACTACTTCAAAATATGGGACAAGTTTGGTTCAAGGGTTCCTAGATTAAATTCCTGGACAGTGTTGGAGATGACACATAGTGAAACCTCTATTCACAGCTGTTTTTCATTTACAGCTGCAATGCATGAAACTACAGGTTTTCTTGTAAATTATTGAATTAATTGGCAACTATTTGGTAATTGATTAATTAGTTCAAATAACTTTAGTAATCTTATTTTAGCTTCATAAATATGAATATTTTCTGGTTTCTTTCAACCTCTGTGACAGTAAACTGGATATCTCTGGGTTTTGGAAAAAATAAGACATTTGAGGATGTTTTCTTGGGCTCTGGGATACATGGTCATCATTTTTCAGCATTTTTAGTGGACACACAAATAATACATTAATCAACACTGAAAGTAATTGTTACTTTTAATTTCCCTACAGTGCACTCTGTGGCACAAACTGCATTTTTAAACTGACCCTTTTTGTTCTATGTGCATGTTCAACACACTGTTGCTGAATCCAGAAATGTAACAGTCTGGTTGTAAATACAGCTACAAACAGTGCAACAAGTAGCAGAGCTCCACAAGGACATTTTAGAAAGTGCTACTTCAATTACAGTATTAGTGTTAAAAACAAAACAGTATTATATAACTTTGCAGGAAAAGAAGAGTCCGACAAACATTGTGTAGCTCTCAGTGGTGCATGAATTGTATCTCTTTGTCAGTTTGTGCATATTACATGTGTACATATAGCCAGTGAATAAAGCTTTTGTAAGAATGATGCATTGTCAACAAACAGCACACCTGTACTGACATTAACCATTAACTTTCCATCAAAGTTATTTGCTAATTCTTTTATTTTTATAACAAGACATGTGCTGTTCTGTTTTCTCAGTGTGCACCTGTGATCCTCGCACCTCAGTGGACACCAGCTGCTCTGCGTCCGGTCACTGCAACTGCCGGCCCAATTACAGCGGGCCGTCATGTGATCAGTGTGCTCCTGGTTACTATGGCTACCCAAGCTGCACACGTAAGTCGCACAACCGTAAAAATGCTTCAGACTCATGAATAGGATTGTCTGCGACTTTAGGAGGATAAAAGAATAGAAACATCTAAAATATGTTGGGAAAACTGTCCAGTGAGTTTCAATATATATCAATCAATACATCAGACCGTAATCAGTAACTGGAGTGGAAAATGCGTTCGTTCCAGCCTGCCAGTGCTCCCCAGAAGGATCCCGCTACAGCAGCTGTGACCAGGTGACGGGACAGTGTGGCTGTCTGCCCAGTGTGGTGGGACTGAGGTGTGACAGCTGTGCACACGGCTCCTACGGCTTCCCCAACTGCCAAGGTGACAACACACACAGAAAAACACCAAATAAACCCAGGTGAATTTTGTGATGGATGAAAATGAGGTGCAACAGCTGCAGTTAATATGACCTATAGTACACACTATGGAAATGTTAGAAATGTGTCCTGGTGGTGAATGTGGTAAATTGTAAATGTAGATTTTAATAGATATAAATATGAACAATTCCATGTCTTTCCAAACTTGTTGTTCATGAAGTTAGTAGGCCAGCTTAGCTGACAAATACACCCAATGTTAAAATCTGAAACTACAGAGGAGCCTCCTCTTAGATTTTACTGCACAAATCAGTCAAAGATTTTATTAGCAACAACTTATTAAGTAGACGTTTATTCTCCTGTGATTCAGTGGTGCCTTTGATTCAGTACCTGGGTGTTTTTTTTTTTTTTTTTGCTGAGTCAGTCTTGGCTTCTCAGTTGTGCAGAATGCAGAATATTACGTTTTTTACAGAATCAGATGAGAAAAGCTTTTTTAAAAAATTTTTTTTAAAAAAGAGACATGTAGAACAAAAGGATTTTGATGAAAATCTTTTCGCAGATTCTTGCTCTGAAAAATTGTGTAATTTTAGTGATTTTCATTAAATTGATAACATGGCTTTCAAACTCACTGGCCGTTTTTGGGGAACAGAGGGTTAATAAAATAATATATACATTCAGTCAACTTATAAATGGGGACTGTGTTTTACACTTTAATTCAAAAACAGCAACAACTGTATGTGCCTACATTCACACAACTGCACATCAACCCTGTACAACTACCTAAGGGATGTCTTCTGTTGTTCTTTATCCCTCAAAGCTGGTACCTGTCACCCTGCTGGCTCTGTTCAGTACGCAGTGCAGCGACCCGTGGTAAGTCTCGTTTTTGTTTGATTCTTGCAAATATAATTTGATGAAATTTTGTGATTGCTTTTGACAAAAGTGATACAAAATGTCTTAAAAGACTTAAAATGAAATCAGTGTTAAAAAACTTTGTTGAATCTTTGAGGATCAGAAACTGTTCCAGATTTAAATTTGACTACCATTATCTTCAAAGTAATGTTTTTGTGCTGCAGTGCACTGCTCCCAGTGCTCCTGCCATGTTTGTAACATTCCCTGAAAGACCTGATCTGTAAGCTAAATGAAAACATTAACTGGCTTACATTTGACATTACTCTATTTTCGGGTCCACTATTTATTTAAATCAGAACAGGATTTCTGGTTGTTGGTTTCCCATAATAGCTCTATGATGTAGACATAGGCAGCAATAACAATTTCTCTAATACACTCTACATTAAATTGATTTTGACAGCCACTGTGTCCTATTTATTGCAGTAATAGCAGGAAACATTTAGTCAAGTAGATTGTAGGTATGTCAGTCACATATAAATGTACTTATTGATTTATTTTCCTGTCAATCTTTCTCTTAGGGCCAATGTGAGTGCCGTCATTATGTGGAGGGCCCAGCTTGTGACAAATGTAAACCTCTGCACTGGAACCTTTCCCCTGACACCCCCGATGGATGTTCCAGTGAGATATTCCTCAAACACACACATCTTGCACGTTTAACTAGTTTGAATGTCGTAAAAATGGAACTTATAGATGAACTAAAATGTGTTTGTGTGGTTTCTCCTGCAGACTGTGAGTGTAACATCGCTGGGACTGTGAGCGGCGTTGCAGAATGTGCACAGGTGAGCGATATCCTTCCTCGGAAATATACGGGAAGTCAATAACAAGATTTCCTTTAATTTTCCTAATTATCAGAAGAGATATTGTATTATTAGAAATAATAGAATCTGTGGTCGGTTGGTTACTGATGATATAATAATTGATTCTGGTTCGTTTAGTAATACAAAGCCTTGTACTTGTGCCAGCAGTAATAATCTCTTTTCTCTTTTTTTTCTGCCAGGAATCTGGTCAGTGTCACTGTAAGCCCAACGCCTGTAGCGGAACCTGCTCCACCTGCAAAGACGGCTTCTATAACCTGCAGGAAAACAACTACTTCGGCTGCCAGGGTTAGTGCTCTGCAGTACCAATGGAGAATCAGTCACTGCAGGTTTCCTTCTAAGGGGAAATCCTGATTTGCTGTGATGCTTGGTTGGTAATTCGAAATGTGTGTGTTCAGGCTGCCAGTGTGACATTGGAGGCTCAGCAGGTCAGTCCTGTGGAGACAGGAACGGCCGGTGTCGCTGCAGACCCAACGTGGAGGGACCCAAGTGTAACCTGTGAGTATATGTTCACTTGATTTATTTGGGATAATATTGGGGTTGATCGTGGTTAATAATGCAATAATGAGACTGCAATCAAGATGATGAAGACTTGGCAAATCACTGTTCTTTAAATAACACTTTAAAACAACTAGCTTTGGCCTAAAGTTCTTTCATATTGAAATAGAAGATTACGTTTTCAAATTTCCTTTACTAATGTAAATGTCAAAACCTTACAGAATACAGAATGCTTTTATTGCCAAGTGAGCTCACACACAAGGAATTTGACATGGAGAGTGAAACTATGGTACTTTACAACAAGAAGACAGAGAAAGAAAGAGAAAGAAACCTGCAGGAGAACCAGATTCAGGGAGAGTGAGCTTCTGCTTCGACCACTTGGGGTGAGGGGAGAGAGAAAAGGATAGCAGTGAGAGACAGACAGACAGACAGACAACAAACAACAAATACTAGGTGGCTTGGTGAGAGCTGAAAACTCTGAACTACAGGAGAAAGAAGCTAGTTAATAATATATAATAGTTGCTTGTAAGTAAACACATGTTAGGACCTCTATATGATGAGCAGAGGTAGAGCATATTGGCTCACAATGTTGCTACTGATTGATGACTGATGATTTTTTTAAAATCCCTTAATGCATGATGATTAATTATTGTACTTAATTCATACTGTAAACTCTATTTGGTTGAAAAATTTGTCATAAACACTTTTATGTGCCATGCAATATAAAGTCTATAACATAAATAACATTTTCAACTGAGAAAACTTGTTTCCTAGATCATTTTGTTGCCATATAAGCTTTTATTTTTATCACTTTCTAAATGGTTCCACTGTCTCTGCAGACCTCGTGCAGATCATTTCTTCCCAGACCTCCACCATCTGAAGTTTGAGATTGAGGAGGGAACCATGCTGGATGGCCGGCCGGTGCGATTCGGCTACAACCTCCTGGAGTTCCCGGACTTCAGCTGGAGAGGTTACGCCCAGATGTCCCCTATTCAGGTAGGAACAAAACTCTTTACACAGTTGGATGTGACAGTATCTATAGTGCAGGGTTGGTTTATAATGTATAGACTATATCCAAAACTCCAATTATTGTATTTGCTTTGATCAACATTGCACACAATAAACATAGCATGTATATGTTATGTGTGTGATTTTTACTACACAGTCTACTTTCTGAAAAGATGCTTTTGTTGCTGTGGCCCATTGTTTGTGCTCTTCTTGCATGAAATAGACGGACTGATCTGTGGTTGATGTGTGGGACATTTAAAGGGATATTTCTCTTGGATAGAATTACTTTTCAGCACACATATCTCGAGATGCATTTTAGATATTTTACCTTTTTTTTTTTTTTTGCTTCTCAACGTACATTACCCTTCTGAACCCTAAACAAGTTCTGCTCAGATAACAGACCTTTTAAACTTCTGAACTTCAGAAGTTTGTGCTGAAAGTGAAAATCCAAATAGAAATATGTTGGGGTGTGTGGATTTGCAAATGGCTACTTGTTTCCCTTTTTAGTGGTAAAGGTAATGGTATTAAGGTCTTGCTTTTGACTTTTCTGTCTGTGTCGGTGTTTTCTACTATCTCCACCATGAACTATCTTTCTCTTCCCCTTGTCTTTCTTTTTCTTATGCCTCCTCTTTATCTCCTGCTTGTCTCCTTGAACTTCCCCTTTACCTCCTTCATGTTTCTGCCGCCTCGCTCGCTGCCCCCCCCCCCCCCGCCAGTCCAAGGTGTTGCTGTCGGTGTCGGTCAGCTCTCCAGACCTCTTCCATGTGGTGCTCCGCTATGCCAACTGGGGGGTGTCGGACATTCTGGGCAGGGTGTCAGTCATAGAGGATGGCTGGAACTACTACTGTGGTAACTGTAAGTGCTGGGATGGAACAAAAACTGTGCTTTTCTTCCTCTTTTCTGGCCTTCCATCACTGATTCCAGCATTGGAATAAGATGTTATGGAAGAGGAATGACTTCTCTACTGCTCATTCTGTCTGTTTACTTCACAATTTGGCTGCGTTCCAACAATACAAGTCAGAAATTCAGATTTTTTTAAATCAGACTTCCAGCTGGGAAACTTTAGCATCAGAAAGGTCTCTCAGCCCTGTTACTAGTAGGTGAATCAATGTTTTATCTGCAGTTTCTTGCAAAATTGACAGTGAGTTGTTATGAGCGGGTTAATTATTAAGCAGGGAGATGAGCTAAAATCTCACAGTGGACTTCGATGGTTTTGAGATTCAACAAGTCCTCTGTATGATATGAAATGAGTTGAGCTATGACACTGGATTGTGTCCATATTGCCCACCTGAACGGAACCGATCAACCAGTTATCGGCCAGGCCAGTCACTCATTAAAAATTTTGAAAATATCCTAATTGTATGCATACTGCATGAAACAGTATTTACTTTAAGAGGGCCACTGTTGTACGAACTTTAAGTAAAAAGAAAAAGTATGTGATTAGGAACACAACTCGTGTTCTCCATCAGTGTCCCTTCAAATGTAAAAGCTTAACTAAAACGTAAAAAAAAAAAAAAACACTCGAACAACAAACAGATGAAAACAAATTATGACAACAGTATTTTACCAGAGTTTTGTGTTAGAATTTTCATTATTCTACATTCTGATTCATAGATTATTCAACTTTGTGATAATAATCAGTATTGTTATTGGTCCTGAAAAAACAAATCATTTGATTACTAATTGGTACCGACTACCAATTTCTTGATATCATAAGATCCCTAATACAAATCTGCAGCCACCTGTTGCTGCTTAGTATCTCAGCTATACCTGTCAGAGGACAGGTTTTACCTTTTTCAAATAACATCTTCACGACCTCCATAATCTCCCTGTGGGTTTTCTGATCCTTCCTACCTGGATTTGTAGTTAAATTCATAAATGAAAAATTGTGACTTGATTGGAACATGGCCTTATTCATGTGTTAACATCAACCGTCTCCTCTTCCTCATCCTTTATTCCTGTCAGGTTTCTATGTGCCAGTTGATGGAGGCAACTATCATATGGTTGCTGGTTTTTAATTGGTGGCGGCCTCCTCATTTTTCATCCTTCAGGGCCACAGATCAGTGCAGATTTCAGGGATTTAAGAACAAAAACTCATGCCTTCTACCCTCCAAACTCCCTATTCTCTCCCTCCTACTCTTTTTTTCCCACCTCCTCCCTTTGGACTCTGTCCCTATAGACTGCAGTGAAGCTTCAGGTTTATGTGAGCGAGGCAGACGTCTATCTGACTCGCTTCATCCTCAGATATGTAAACTCTGAGGGTGATACCTCCAACGGTAAAATTACAGCCTATCAGGTCAACCGCAGAGGTAGGTCACCACCAATCACAAGAAACTATTAATGTTTGTGTTTTTGACAGTAGAAGAGACCAATGTTTGTAACTCTGAAGCTGCATTTTTATGTATTTTTATATTTTTTTGAAAAACCTGTTAGACAGCATTTTTCATCTTCGTTGCATGAGCAGTATTCACTTTTCAGTATCTGTCACTGTTATCAAAGTATTATCGTAGAACGCCATGAATTTTATGCTTTTTCCAGGTTCAGAGCAGTCCAAACAGATCGTCTTTGCCCCCAGTGTGGAGCCGACCTTCGTCAACGTTCCCCAGAACAACTTTGTGGAGCCTTTCGTGCTGAACCCAGGAACCTGGACTGTCGTTATAGAGGCTGAAGGAATCCTGCTAGTGAGACGCTCACACTGCACATCTGTTGTTATTTACGCATACATACGCATTTTATCGAGATAAGATGCATTTTGTCAACTGAAACTGCCATGAACATGTTGGCACAAGCTGACAATGTGAATGTAGGATTTCCTTCTATGACACCAATTAACAATAGTATTCACTCTCTGTTTTACCTCCAGGATTACCTCGTTCTGCTGCCCAGTGCTTACTATGAAGCGCCCATCCTGCAGATCAAAGTCACTGAGCCATGCACCTACAGCTCTGTCCCTGAGGCCAGCCACAAGTAAAACTGCTCATATTTATTTGCATTTGTTATATTGCTGAACTGTCATTCAGCTGCTCAGTCAGTGAAAGAAAACTACTGACTTACAGAAAATCGAGAACCTATCAATAGTATGGACCCTCAAACCAGCCACTGGGTTTAAAAGAGGTGCTTTCTTTAAATGTCTGAACCTGAAGCAGTTTCTGGGCATTTTTTGTTCCTGTCACATTTTTAGGGATTATTAGGGATAATGGTGGATCAATATTTCACAACTTACATTTTTAATTTGTGTCCATACTTGTTTCTTCTCTGTTCTGTCTACATACAGTCTGCTGTTCAGCCGAATTCACCCAAAAAGTCAAGTGATTGTTGGGCACAGATGAGGCTCTCATAGTGGAGCGCAGAACTTAAACGATATATGTTTTGCAAATTTCTATATGAGGCATATAGAATAATGTGATTTTGATTTTTAAAAAAATCAGGCCAGGATGTGACAGATGAGTAGTTCAAGGACCGTCAGAAAGGTGAAAATCTGATGATTCTTTCAGTTTTTGTACTTTCTGGCTCTGATATCATTGCGCAATTTAAGGACATATAAAAAACATAATAATAATAACATGTCTTTCAAACCCGTATGTGGATTAAAAATAAAAAGACCTTTTGATAAAACAAGGTTTTCAAGGTTTTAACCTATCAAAGGAAGATTTTTAGGGGGTCCAAGGTCCTCTGGCAGGGAATCCTATAACTTGACGTCACAAATCACAAAGACCTGATCAACCTTTGGTCACAAGGCGAGTTCTGATCCGTTTCCTGCTGCAAAACCTTCTGTTTATGGATGAGAAGTGCATCAAAATAAGCTCACCCTAAAAATCTTACCATTCTGACCTTGTGAGGAAAGAATGAACAGACAAAAACAACAATGTTTAGATTTGTTTGTTTTCTCTGAGCTATGTGTCTGTCATCTGTCCGTCCAGCTGTCTGCTGTACAAGTATCTGTCTCTGGACTCCTTCCCCTCCATTTCGGGCAATGACGCCAGCTGCCGCAATGACAACCACCTGCCGCGGCCCTGCCCAACTGAGAAGGTCACCCCACGCCATCCGGACATGGCTGTCTGCAGCGGCTACGATGTAAGAGAAAGAGTTTGTGCAAGATCTGTGTTTTTTTAATAAAAAATAAAAAAATAAAGTAGGAAAAATTAAAAATGAGAAAAGTGATTTCAGAGATTTTTGTTTGATTCAGCATCTTTGAGAAGAGGTTAAACATGTGTATTTTCCCTTCTGCCGCAGATCAACGTGGAGCTGCGATTGCGTCTGTCATCTCCGGGTGACTACGCTCTGGTGGTCGAGTACTCCAGCGAAGAAGAACTGCCGCAAACTCTGTCAGTCGCTGTCAACATGCCGGGTGCACGGACACACCAGCACCGTGTCACCCTGCTGCATTGTAAATACAGGTATGAGAAAGATCTGTCTCAGTCTTCAGCAGTTATCAGTTTAAACGTAGCTTCTACTGAGAAATTTCACTGGTCTTAATGCAACTTAGATGGGTAATGCACTCACACACTATAAAACTTGACGAAAAATGTCTGCTTTTAGTGAAAAGCAACTGCTACAAATGCATGAAAGAATGCAGCCGGAGGTAAATTCAGCAGACGTGATGATGAGTCAGTCGGCGGGAGGATGTTTGTGTTTGTGTGTCAGAGGGAATGAGAAAGAGGACGCTGTGTTTGTTGTGTCTGCAGTGTGTGCGTTTACCTATAATCTGTGGACTCATCTGGTTCACGGTTTACCGTTACTGTCTGCCGCCTCGTCAAGTGTGTCAACAGCTCTTAATCGTCAAGTCTGTGTGTGTGTTTGCGTAGCTTCCTGTGTCGGGCCGTGGCCATCGACGACCAGAACAGAGTGGCGGTCTTCTCCCTCCCCACCAACGCGGAGGTCCAGCTCATCTCTGACCAAGCCAGCTTCTTCCTGGTGAGAATCGCTCCCAAGTCACGTGATCAGAACAGCGGTCACCTGACGATCATCTGATGACAGAGTCTTTAAGATTAGATTGTGAGCCTTTGTTGCCCCTAAAACACAAGTGTGGATTACTGCTGAACCCTAAGGAGTTTCTGCTTGTGTTTGTTCCGTTTTTTTCTCACTGTGGGCTCATTTTTCTCTGCACCTCTGTGGAAAAAACACAGCCATGACAAGAAGTAGAGAACTTAACAGTGTGTTCAAAAAGACAACAATATACCATATACTGCATAATGTAAACACAGCCTGCAGTTCATCCAAGTTTACCGCAAAAGTGTCAGTCTCTAATGGCTTCACGGTTATACAGAGGAGTGCAGAATTTCACCACTGGTTCTTGATAGAAGAAAAAGACGGTTGTAAAGTTGTAAATCCAACAATTCTTTCTGTTTGCACAGGTTCTGGCTCTGATAAATGCTTCTTTTTTGTCTTTTTTCTTTAAGATATCATGTCTTTTTAACAAGGTTTTGAGATGCAGGGGGATTAACTGACAAAGGACTCACAAAGAGAATGACTGAAGATTGTTTTCTTTTTGAAGTCCAATGTTTTCTCTTCCTATATTTTTACATTTGGTTTCTGGCGTGAATTACATTCACAACATTATTAAAATATGTCAAGATATTTAAACAGCTGCTACAGCAGTCGTCAGCTCATACATGTCACCAGTCACTCAGTAGTACAGACCGCCAGAGTGACTATAGCTGCCTTTCTTTAAAAGTGGAGCATAAACAAGACATGTTTGATACTTAATAATGACAGTAGTAACATTTTGTAGTAAAAATATGTGTGCATACTGGGAGCAGGTTTATTGAAAAGATTGATTAGCTGATCATTTGGTTTCATAAATTCAAGTAAATTAGCTCTGCCCTTGTGCAATTAAAAAAAAAAAAAAAAAAAGCAACTCAAAAATGGCTTCAAATGCCTCTGAAATGTGATGAGAATAAACAAATATGGGACATAGTGAATCCTGGATATGCTGTAAATGGGAAATGTACAGAATATGCATTTGTTCATGATGAGTTAACTTGAAGTGACTTATTTTTCCAGCTCAACAATCTTTAAACAACCAAAGAAGCACAGATTAGAAAACCAAGCTAATCTTCACATTTTAGAATGTCTCATTCCACCTTTTTGATAAATGACATCTAAATTTTGTTACTAATGTTATTAATCTGCTATTAACTTGTTTCAGCAGCAGCGCATACTTCTTTTAAAACCTGTGTTTTTCTTTATTGTCATCAGTACAAAGTGTACCTGGTGCCTAAAGACCAGTTTACCATGGAGTACGCTGAACCTAAAGTCCACTGCATCAGCACTCACGGACAGTTCTCACCTGACAGGTAAAGAAGCATGTTATGAATGTTCATGCCTTTAGAACCACTAAATAATTAATCACAGGTTTTATAAAAGAACCATCTTTTCTGTCCCTCCAGTTCCTCCTGCGTCGCCTCACGCTTTCAGACCCCCTCAGACTCTCTGGTCTTGAAGGACGGCCAGAGCTCCTCCATGCAGGAGGAGCCCATCCTGGCCTCCCCTGTAGCAGCTCCTCCTCCGCCCTTCTACCAGAGGGATGAGCCAGCCTGGACCGGAGGAGACAAACCTCCATTCGGGGCAGATAACAGCCAACGGCTGGACTCTCTGCAGGTATGCAGGATGCAGCACAGAGTCAGTGCAGACCTACCAGATGTTAATGAACATGTTGTACTTGGTTGTTCACTCACATGTTTGAATCTTAATCATGACTATAAGTAGAGAGAACTAAAAAAAAACAAAAAAACATTTTGTGTAGTAGAACAAAGTTGTATTGTCATTAGATTATTTGAAAAGTGGAATTTCTGTCATTAATTTTACAAACACTATACAAGAATTTCCTTGATTATTTATTTTAAAATACATATATTTTTAAAACTGCAGTCAACATGTGCAACATTTTTCAAAGTGCCCACAGGTGTTACCTATATTGGAAAAAATAATGGTAATTTGATATACTAACAATATTTTACTACTTTCTGAATTGAATTTTTCTTATGTGACTGTTGGTTGCAACTGAGTCACTCATGACTTCATGGTTTTGCAGAGCAACACAGAATTTTTTGATAATCACAAAACTGCATTTTTTTGGCAATTTTTTGAATATGAAAATGTGGAATACAGCAATTCTGAAGAAATATCATGATTTTCAGCTTAGATTTGTTTTAATTTTTTTCTTGACGGAACAGCACATTACAGATGAGTAGTTTCAGGACCACTGGAAAGTTGAAAATGTGAGAATTCTCTCCCAGCTTTGTAGAAAAGTACCTGAATTTTTCTCATGTGACTGAATTACTGATGGCTTCCTGGTTGCAACAAAAAGCACAAAGGTTTTTGTTTTTTTACTGATTCTTTCACCGTTTTTCTGTCAAACCTGCCGGCAGGTTTTTGGGTTTAGAGGTTTAAACTAATGACTATTTTACACATTATGATGCATTGTTATATTAAACCAACAAAATACAATGCATGTAAAGCTGTTGAACTTAGGTTGTAGCTGCAGTTGCACTGAAGAACCTGCCATCTCCTCTTCCATACCTAGAATGCAGCAACATACTCGTCCCGTGTCCATACCCTTGGGCGTTACGTCTTCATCCTCCACTATCACCAGCCTCTTCACCCCAGCTATGCTGTGCAGGTCTACATTAACGGGGGCCGAATCTGGCAAGGTAAGAACACGTACTGAGTGTTGGAAATATAGAGTCTGCAAGCAGTATATATCCAAAACAATAAAGAACTAACAGTATGTGCATAGCAGTAACGAAAATGGAACAACTTTTGAATGCAAGCATGCAAGGAAAGAAAAATTCAAGAAAACTAGAGTAATTTCCACCATATTTTTGACAGCAGAGATTTAAGGGGCGGCTAAGAAAGAACGTGCTGATTAAATTTTGCCCAGTATTTCATGAGTCACACTGTGCTTCAGGCCAAGCCAACGCATCCTTCTGTCCCCACGCTTATGGCTGCCGTAACGTCCTGGTGTCTGAGAATCAGATCATTCTGGATGTGACCGACCACGAGGTCTTCCTCACAGTGCAGATACCTGCTGGCAAGACTCTGTGGCTGGTAAGTTTGACTACCTTGCTTTTGTTTCCAGCTTTTCAGTTACACTCAGTTATGAAGATGATTGTGCTCTTCTGTTAGCCAGCATCCTCTTCCGATCTTTGACCTGTAACCTGAGGTTTTGTGTCTTTATCACACTTGTACCACAGAGTTTTGGGAGTTTTTTTTACATTAGTGATTGCAATAAAACCACTAAAGTCAGTGCACATTTTTGCTTCAGTTTCTCTGGTGCCATTGTTGCATTCAGATCTTGTGTGAAAGACTTTATAACAACGTGGCTACACTGAGTTTTTGAAATGACTGTTGCCTCACTACGCTTCTGCTGTAGTCAATGAACGTTGTCTCACCAGACCTCAGAACAGCATGTATGATCTCCATCTCGGTGATTTTTAATAGGAGCTGATAACTTTCTATCAATCAGGACTTCCTCCACATCTTGGTCGCCCTATGAGCATTCATTTTGCTAAATGACTTCCTCCCTTACAGAGGCTACTACAGTCCATAGTTTTTAACTTACACATATTATACACATTTGATGAAATTTTAGTAAATTCTCAGCACAGTGCGGGGTGCAACAATTGTGATCCATGATGATATCTTGTAGCCACTGAAAAGATGCATTCTGTGGAACATCTACTTCGCCAGTGGTTCACATGCTTTTAGTGTATCCACAGCATTTCAAGCATTCCTGAAACAGCTTTTAGCCTAATTTCAATCCTGTTGACTGTTTGCTACTGGTTAGAATTTTCACATTCAACATAAATTGAGCATGTAAGAGGTTTGCCCACAGAAATAATTTTTGAAGTAATTTGATTTGATTCTTCACTTCAAGATGGAATCAGAGAGACTCATGTTCATAATCTAATATACAGATATAGAATATTCTCTGTTTGTCGTACCTTCTTCATCTTTCATTATATGTAATATCCTGTGTCTCTGCAGGACTATGTGCTTGTCGTCCCTGAGGCGAGCTACAGCTCCAGCTACCTGAACGAAGAGCCTCTGGACAAATCATACGACTTCATCAGCAACTGCGGCCAAAACAGCTTCTTCATCAAGTCAGTATCTCAACAGGCAAATGAGTCAATATGTGTGTAGTGAGCCATTTTGGCCCTTTGATTGGAATTACTCAAAGAATACATCGCTCATTTAGAGTAGGATTTAAATAGTTGTTCCTCCTTCTCCTCCTCTCGCGTCCAGTCCATCGTCTGCCTCTCCGTTCTGCCTCGGCTCAGCGGTGTCTCTGTCTGCCTTCTTCAACCACGGTGCGATGCCCTGCGCCTGCCACGAGGTCGGAGCTGAGAGCGACACCTGCGAGCAGTTCGGCGGCCAGTGTCACTGCAGATCAAACGTGATTGGACGAGACTGCTCCATGTGCGCCACGGGATACTGGGGATTCCCCAACTGCAGACGTATGTGAATAACAAATATTTAATTCTACATGTATCATAAATGTAGGCCTGTTTTTTTCCCTCACAAATGTCACACCACAGTCAATAAACGTTCCCCCTTCAGTTAACATTAATTACAACTCAGTGCAAAAATTCTGACCTGCTGTAGTCAAAATCTCCAATCAGAGCAGATCAGGCTTTTTAGGAAGAAGCCTTAAAGAGAGGGAGCTAAAACAGAGCATTTCAGACAGAAGCAAAGAACAGGTGCTACAGCAATGTACAATATGAAAAAAAACTTTGTGTCATTTGATCATTAAAGCACTTAAACATCTTTTAGCAGATCCAAAAATACAATTATAAACCTGTAAATGGGCAGAATGTTAAAATCAAATGCTCAGTCAAGAGGAATAGAAAATTTCTACCAGTATCAGCTGTAAGAGAAATTAGTGGAGCTTTTCAGCCCTTCTTTTAAAAATAATAAAGAAAATGATTTGTTATGTATTAACTGATCTGGTTTGACTGCTGTAAGTTGAAATGATTCAAGGAAAATAGATTTATCTCTTTGCTTTTTCCTCTGTCCTGTTACTAAAGTTGCAAACAGCAGAGATTGTTTTTGTCTTTTCTGCGATGAACCATATGTTTCCCATCTCGCCTGCAGCCTGTAACTGTGGTACGAGGTTATGCGAGCCGGTGACTGGTGACTGCATCTGCCCTCCAAGGACGATGCGCCCAGACTGCACCCAGTGCGAGCCGCAGACGTTCGGCTGCCATCCAGTGGTCGGGTGCGAGGTCTGCAACTGCTCTCGGCCTGGTGTCGTCTCCCCCGACGTCAGCTGCGACACACTCAGCGGACAGTGCAGGTACAACGAAGACAGAACAGAGGAGATAGCGATGAAATGAAAATGCAGAAGAAACATGAATTCACCCATCCCACACCTACATCCATCATCCCCTCTAAGAACATTTATTTATTTTTTTTTTAAAGTCATAAATAGTCTTGTGCTTTTCATGCTGCCACCACTCATGGATCTTTAGTTGTGCAGGCTGAGCTCTCAAATGTCAGGCCTCTGTTTAGAAATACCGAAAAAGGTTGTTATTTCTTGCTGTTTAGTTTTCTGACACAATCTTGGCTCTGGCACTCACGCTGGGTTGATCATCTGTGTGTTTGCCTGGCTGTACTTGTCTGTGTTCTTTTGAAACTGCCAGTTCTAAAACTTTCAGCTCTGGTTCCCCCGAAGGACTGGCAGCGACACTGTCCTCATCTTGATCTGCTTCTGTTATTCCTTCTTCAAAAGGTTTTAGCCTTTATAAGGCTCCCAATCAGACAAACTTCTATGTTTCCAAAAACAAATCTGGTAGCAAAGGGAGCTGTTTATTACTTATCACACAAAGATATCCCCTCATCGTCCTCACAAGGATCAGTAGTCAAGTTATTCTTCATGGGCTTCAAAAGCTCTGAAGCCTTTCGTCCACTGATCAAACAGCAAATCAGAAACTTTGTCAGAGCTGCAAAATGAATCAAACTGTAACTACAATCCAGATTTTTGGTTTCTTTTAAAAGTAACAGCTGCAGTAAATCTGTATTCCACAACCTTTCCATTAATCCATACTTCACATGTGCACTAAACTGTAGGTGCAGATCCATACGGATCACACATCAACTACGCTCTATTACACCACAGTTATTCAAATGAAAATGTTCTAAATATGAAGTTTGGTCTGATTGTCGTCATTGTTGTAAAGAAGTCTTGACTGTAAACCCGAGAAGTAAAAAAAAAAACATGCTCAGTGAAAACATTTACCTAATGTGTGTTTAAAACTTTGCAGACTGAAGCTGTAAGTTCACTGGTGCATTTACACACATGAACCTTTATTTTATTTATTTTTAACATTACTTTCTGACTGTTTTTCTCACTTATTGTTATCAGATGCTGATAATCTAACAGAAATACTTTCTCTGTCGCCTCATCTCTCCTCTTTCCTCCTTTCTTTTAAACTCTGTCTTCCATTCTGTGCCTCGCTTGTGAGCATCAAAGTGTCAGGATATCTAAAATCACTCTCGTATTCCTCTTGCAAACACACAAAGAAGGAATGTGTAAGTTCTGTTCAGACAAGACAAGGATGTACAGCTGGAAGCATTTTTCTTTCTAAAGGCACCCATCATTAAAGATCCCAACACCTGGCAGTAACACAGAGTCACAGTTGGCATGCCGTCAGCTGCCAGCCTATATATCTGAAAAGTCAAAATACTGATTAGTCATTTTTAAAATTAAGAATAGGAAAAAAGAAGTAGTTTAGCTCCTGCAAGACTGAGGGGCTTTTAGCTTCAGAGACAGAGTTGGTCAAGAAGATGAGATATTAAACACGCATCAACTATCGTTTTTGTGTTTTTTTCCCCAGATGTAAGAACAACATCGTCGGCCGTCAGTGTGACCGCTGCGCCCCTGGTTTCTATGGTTACCCCAACTGCAGGCCATGTGACTGCAATGAGGCGGGAACAGAGGAGGAAGTGTGTGACTCCTTCACGGGACAGTGTCTCTGCAAGGTGAAGACGAACACACACTCGCACCCAGGTTATTCAGCATTGCTCGGCTCAGTCCATATAATCCACAAGGATATCTTCCACAAGTGACTGTTCCCTACCTTTTTGATGCACCACCTTAGGCAGTCAGCTTTTTCTGTAAAAGCTACGACTCAGTGGAACACCCTGCATGATGATATTAAGAACTGTGTTTCTATCAGCAGTTTTAAAAACAAACTAAAACATTTGCTTAAGGACACTCAGAACTGGTGCTGCAAGGTGGCGCAGTTGGTAGCACAGTTGCCTCGCAGCAAGAAGTTCGCCAGTTCGTGTCCCGGTGAGGGCACCGGGATCGTTCTGTGTGGAGTTTACATGTTCTCCCCGTGCAGCGTGGGTTCTCTCTGGGTTCTCCGGCTTCCTCCCACACAGTCCAAAAACATGTTGAGGTTAATTGGTGATTCTAAATTGCCCGTAGGTGTGAATGTGAGTGTGCTTGGTTGTCTGTCTCTAAGTGTAGCCCTGTGATAGACTGGTGACCTGTCCAGGGTGTCCCCTGGACCCTAAGTCGGCTGGGATAGACTCCAGCCCCCCCGCGACCCTAGTGAGGATTAAGCGGTGTATAGATAATGGATGGATGGATGGACACTCAGAACTGCAACCATTAATGTCTTTTTAATTTGCATTTGTGCGTGACTGTGTGTCCATATGTGCTTTTAAGAGTGTATGTGTAATGTTGTGTTTCACTGTGTCATGTATTTTATAGTCCAACTTTTTTGTGACTAAAGCTAACTCTGGTGCAATACATCAAATGGCAACATTTATGTTAACATTGTACATGGTCCCTTTTTAAATAAACTGATTAATAATAACACCCCCACTCCTTCACATATGTTAACCCGTGGTGTGATCCCTCCACCTATAGGAGAACGTCCAAGGTTCTCGATGTGACCAATGCAGAGTGGGTACGTTCCACTTGGATCCAACAAACCCGAAAGGCTGCACCAGCTGCTTCTGCTTCGGCGCCACTGACCGCTGTCGCAGCTCTGACAAAAGACGCACAGAGGTACAAATGTTTGTGCATATAAATTCTAGATTATGTTTTTAAAAAGAAATTAAAAAAGAAGAAAGAAATTTGCTACATGGTTGAGGTAGAAAAATGACTCTACTGTCAAGAAATAGTGTTTATCTCTTGCTTCAAGGTTTCCAGAACCTGTTTTCTTAACTCGTGGACGAGTTCTACATGAACACATCACTGTTTCCCAAATTTCACTTGAGAGATGTATGTGTTTGTTTGTTTTCAAATGCCATAAATGATAAATAAAATAAAATAAAAAGAAAAGTTATATTTCTTTCTTATTAATTTTTTTTTTTTTTACATTTAAAAAAAATATTTTTGGGGCCTCTTGCCTTTGTTTTGAGCAGTAGAGATAGAGAGGAAATGGGGGAGAAGAATAGGGAGAGACCTGCAGCAAAGGGTCGTGAGTGGGAGTCGAACCCATGACCACTGCGTCGAGGAGCTATAGGGGCGCCCCTTTTCTTATTAATTTTACAAAAAGCTGAAGAAAAAAAAAAACTGGAATTACAATGTCAAGCCAGCTTACACAAAGAAAGCTGGGCTGTGTGGAACTTGCTTCATAGTAAAGTCATTAGTTCAGTGTCATTAAAATCCCAATAAAGTTAATATTTTCGAGTATTTATCCTACAAAGATGGTGAATAAAGATCCTGACTTGGCGGCCCGGCAGCCCAACTGGATAAGACGGCGTCCCATGAATAGGGGCTATAGTTCCCCAATGCAGCAGTCATGAGTTTGAATCCCGCTCACGGCCCTTTGCTGCAGGTCTCTCCTCATTCTCCTCCCCTCTTTCATGTCTATCTCCACTGCTCTACAAAAAAAATAAAAATAAAAATCATAACAATAAATAAAAAAGATCCTGACTGTATTTCATCTGGAAAAGCTTTTGAACATTTTCATGATCTGTTCTGTTGACTTCAGTTATGTCTTTGGCCTTACGTGTGATCTTTGCTGTACTCTGCTTGTATCCGGCAGTATTTTATTTATTCTCCTCTCTTGTAGATCATGAACATGGAGGGCTGGGTGCTGCTTGGAGCAGACAGACAGGAAGTCCCAGTGACTGTGTATCCTGGTCAGGATCTTGTGGAGGCCGACCTCAGCGACGTGCCCGATGTTTACCAGGACCTCCATTGGCATGCAACGAAGACTTACCTGGGAGACAAGGTAGGAGGGAGGAACAACCTGTTGAGGAGGTGGGAAAGAGTACATTGATGGTGGGCTTTTCCTTTAGGTATGTTATGGTGTCGTGTGACAGGCTCGATGGATGCATTTTGACCTGATGTCATCACACAGTATACGGACTAATGGAAAAGTTGCGACAACAGAAGCTCAGTTTTCTGCACTGCATCATTGCAAATACTATCTGTCAGTAAAAATAGACAAACTGCACAACAAAACTAGCGTGGAGACAACATGAATGAGAAAGTTTGTTCACAGAGCTTTACAGCATATTATGGTACTATTTTAACCAAACTTAGCTGCACTTGTCCAAAAAAAAAGCTTTGTCACCAAGTTAAAGTGTGTTAAAACCTTTAAGCTTGATTTTATTTAATTTTTTTCAATATCCAAAGACCAATCATGAGACTGCCTTTGAACAGACTGGAATATGTACTCTTATGAGACATTTCCCTTGAATATCATCAGTGTCAGGTGCAATAACAACAAGTCAGGCATGACAGGGCAAAGATTCACTGGAATCTGCTGTTGAACATTAGCTTTATAACATACTCTTAAAATGGTTGGAGATGATGTGTATGTGGTTTCTGTTTATCTAATCAGCCTATATTTACTCAGAGAAGGTTCACTGAGGATGTGATGAGGGTGAAGATGAGATGATTGCATTTGCAAAAAAGCAAGAAAAAAGAGATGATGGTAATTTTCTGCTCAACATTTTGCAACCGGAGTCACTCGACATGCAAAATGCTTTAAAAGTAAAGGCAATTATTGGAGTAAGGAAATAAAAATGTAGCTCTTTTCTCTTTTCTGTAGTTTTAGCAATGAACAGACTAAAACAAAAAGTCACATATACATATTCATACAAAAAAAGACACATCATGTGCGTAACAAGTCAAACATCATGACTGAGCAGTTTCACCTTTAAACTGCAGGAAGCAACATCTAGGACATTTTAAGGCAGGAAGGGATTATTTTAATGGAACTCTTGAACACATGACTTTGATACACACACAGATGTGTTTTAGATCTGATAAACCTTTATTAATCCCACAGTGAAGAAACGTGCAGCGTTCCAGCAGCGAAGAGAATAGTGCAAACATATTGGGACATTAGAAAAATGAACAAGAAATATACACAAGCACTGTTGATATTGCACAGATTTTCCTTCTGTAGAAATTTAGATAGTATTTCTCTGAATGTGGGGGGAAAAACAATACTGCACATAGTTGTTCTATATATTTAAAGAAAAGTATTGATATTGCACAGATGCAATAATGTATATGAAGATGCACAAAATATAAATAATATATGTAATGCACAGGTATTAATGCACTGATGTTGCACGAGAGTGAAATACAAGGTATTATGGAGTTATACAGATGATCAGAGAGGGACACTAAACATTAATCCATAAAGGAAAGCAGCATTAAAGTGAGCCTAAAGACGCCTACAGAGTCCCAGCACATGGTTACAGCTACATTGAAGGAAAACACATGTATATTCTTCCGACAGGCATGTCCCGCATCGCTGATCCAAAGGCTCAGACAAGGCTCAGTGTTTCGTCTGGCCGTTTGACTCAACAGCTTTCATGTGTGTTTCAACCAGCATCAGCGCTTAAGCTGATGCTTCGATTTAAATCCCAGACTGAGTCCTGCTACGCTTCATGTAGCTGCCTCAGATGTCAGCTTGCAAATACCTGCATGGTTACCATAGAAGTACAGGTATTTTATCTTTTAGTGATAAAAACGCAAGCCCTTGGTCTTGTTCTATTCTTTGACTGTATAGTCAGAATGTAATCCATTGTTGTCTGATTAAGATGCATAGGGATAGGGGGTTTAAAGCTGCTCTGTGTCTGCCTGGTATTCCCATCCTTCCTTAAAATCTTTACTTTCTGCCTCATCGCTGCCCCTGTTTCCACAGGTGTCATCCTACGGAGGTTATCTGAGGTATCGTCTCCACACTCAGACCATGAGAGGCGACGTGTTGTCTCTGCCTGCAGAAGCCTCCAGGCCCGACATCATTCTCAAGGTGCAAAACTTTGTCGGCACACATGCACGGACACAATACACGAGCATACATGCATGCACATTTTGTACAAAAAAATCCTTTACCTCTAAATGTGTTGGGATGGATGTCTGATACAGAAGATACCCACGCACCATCTCACACCTCTGTTTTTTTTATCCTGCAGGGTAACCAGATGACACTGGTGTTCATGGAGAGAGAATACTCGTCACCCGAAGAGCCTCACCTGGGGATAGTTCACATAGTTGAGGTAGAGTCACTTTTTCACGCAGCCCTGGGATCTACTAGAATATGTTTATTGTACATTGCTGCAGCACATCTTCTCACCTTCTGTCTGGAATGCTTCAATTTAACCCCAGTCTCTTTAACCCTTTATAGGGCACTCCTTGAAATACTTGGAAAATGAAAATTCCAACCCTAAAGTGTTATTGAAGGACATTTCAACATATTTTTACTTTTGTGACTTAAAAAAAGTAAAATCAACAAAAATGTTGCATAACAATATTAATACAGTTAGCATATGGTAACTTGCCCATCTACGGTTTAAAAAAAGGGAATTGATAATAAATAAAAGAAAAAGTAACAAACTGCAAAAAACATTTATTTAGAAACATTTTCGTTTGAAGTAATGATACTTACACAACCAGTGACAAAGTATTTATAAAGTGCTTGGCAAGTTCATTTAGTAACATTTTTCTTGGGGTGGTGGTATTAGTGGCACTAATCTCAAAAAGTAAATCAAAGTGGAGCTCAATGCAAACCAGCAACAAAGCATTTATAAAGTGCCTGGAACATTTGTTTAGTGACATCTTTCTTAAGGTAGTGATATTAGCATTAATATAAAAACTAAATCAAAGTGCTCATGGTTCTTCAACCTCAAGGAGAGGCTAAGGGTGGACATATTAAACGTCCAAGGAAGTTACCAAATATGGTCACTTGCCCCGTAAAGGGTTAAAACGCTCTGATTGGTCAGCTGGTCTGACCAAAGTGAGGGGTGCTGGATATGTACTGTAACCCTGGATCTCTGAGTATCGGGGTGTCAAGGAGTGCAAAAAGTCAGTTTTTTTTACTAAATCTTGTTAGTGCACACAATTAGTTTTTGTCAACATTGTCTATGAAAGCTGTAGAAGAGAGTTATTTTAATGCAATATCACATTTTTAAGCTTAGATTTGGTAAAGTTTCCTTCCTCTGGGCCTTTGATAGTTTTGGCAGCCAAATATCTGCTTTTACTATTTATCTATACATGCCCATGCAACTCTTCGGCGTGGATGGTCATTGTGTGACCTGGAGATGAACTGATCATGATTCTCTCCTCACAGGGAAGTTTCCGTCACGCTCAGACCGGTAACTCTGTCTCTCGGGAGGAGCTGATGATGGTTCTGGTCAGTCTGGAGTCCCTGCAGATCCGAGCCCTCCACTCTCAGTCTGCCCACTCAGTGTCCCTCCGCGGCGCTGTGCTGGAGGGAGCCGAGAGTCTGCCCACCGGACGCCATGCCAACAACGTGGAGATCTGCATGTGTCCCGCCAACTACCTCGGAGATTCCTGTCAGGTGAGGCACCAGTTTGGTTGTTGGCAGCTTCACTGTTACATTATTGTTTAATATTCAGGTCTTAGCATTAATCCTGTCAAAGGTGGTTCGGATTTCGTTTTACTTTTTTAGCTTGTTTATTTTGCAGGAGATCTTTGATTTTTGATGAGTTGAAAAAGGTTTTTCTTTTCTCTCTCTTTTTGAATTGTAGCGTCTTTCACATTATTTTGATGACATAAGTTAACAGCTGTGTCTAAAATAATGGGCGCTCAGTTTTCACTCAGTAATAAAAATTAAATTAAGATTTTTTTTTTGTAACATCTCCTGTAAAGATCTATGACCTCTGTGGTCTGTTTATACAAAAGCATCCAGTTTTTTATATCCAGAAGACAAGCTATAATGACATTCATGAACAGTCTTTGCTGAAATCTTCCCTTCATGTATCCACAAAAACAAACCTAATGAGAATATCAGGAGTTGACTATTGCATGATCAGATTTTCGTTCATGCGTGCTTCAAATATTTAACAACATATATCTGTAGTTTATGAGATAAAAGCTTTCAGCACATCATAGCAAAGGGGCCACTGATGATTTGAGATGGAATAATGCAAAAGGAAAATTAGTAAAGATTCATTCTTTAATGTTCCTCTCCTCTCTGTAGAAATGTGCTCCGGGTTACTACAGAGACACTATCGGCCTGTTTCTGGGGAAATGCGTTCCCTGTAACTGTAACGGACACTCTGACCACTGTCTGGATGGATCAGGAGTCTGTGTGGTGAGAACCTTTTAGAATAAACGTGGAAACCTTCTCACAACCTTCCTTTTGATATGTGTGTGTGTGTGTGTGTGTGTGTGTGTGTGTGTGTGTGTGTGTGTGTGTGTGTGTGTGTGTGTGTGTCCCCGCCAGCCATGTTTGCGGCTTACTAATTGTCTGTATTTACCATCAGAACTGCCAGCATAACACCGCCGGCGACCACTGTGAGAGGTGCCAGGGTGGTTTCCTGGGTAACAACAGTCTTGATGGACAGGCCGTGTCATGCTCCAGTTGTCCCTGCCCACTGAGGGCCCCATCCAACAAGTTCGTACATTTACTCTTCATCCTCTCACTCCTTCTTTTATTATTTTTCTCAAGTAAATTCCTGTCATAGTTTGTGCCATTATCTGTCCCAACCACTCTGCTGACAGTGCTTCTAACTGGACTATACACAGTTTGACGGTAATTTGTTATTTCTCTCTGTCTGTGTAGTTTTGCAGAGGGTTGTGTGCAGAAAAGTGACAGGATGCAGTGTTTGTGTATGCCGGGTTATGCTGGACCAAACTGTGAAAGGTAAAAAAAAATGTCCTCAACACATTGTGGATCAGAACGTTAAATTCTAAGTTACTTTATTCTAGTATGTCATTGAAGAAAGATTTTTGTTTGTTTTTAAGCAGTAACTGCAGAGGTCACCTGTGTAGAATAAACTGATTTTAATAAACATCAGAAATTTAAGCTTAGATTTGGTTATTTTTCCTGAATAAAACAAACATTGCTTGTGATTAGGTCTAGGACGACTAGAAAGTTGAAAAATCAAACTTTTCTTTCTGTTTTATAGTTTTTTTTTGCAATGATGCTAAGACAGTTTTGGGTTAAAGGTTATTTAGATACCTAAACGTCAAATAATGTCATCTTTTTAAAGGTATACTTATGTCTAAATTTTATTCTTTAAGCAGGAGAAAAGCACTGTACACTACAGAAACGCTATTTTCTGCAGATACATGTTTTTTTTGTTTTTTTTTTTTATATATATTTTTTGGGCTTTTTGCCTTTATTTAGCACAGTGGAGAGAGACAGGAAAGGGGGGAGAAGAGTGAGGGAGAGACTTGCAGCAAAGGGTCGTGAGCGGGATTCGAACTCACAACCGCTGCGTCGGGGACTGTAGCCCCTGTTCATGGGTCGCCCGCTCAACCAGGTGAGCTATACGGGCGCCCCAGCTACATGTTTTTAACTATAAATCTGTTATACAGGTGTGCCCCTGGGTTCTACGGCAACCCGATGGTTCTTGGCAGTAGGTGCCAGCCATGCCATTGCCACGGCAACACGGACCCCAACATGCTGTTCACTGACTGTCACCCGCTGACCGGAGAATGTCTCAGCTGCATGCACAACACAGCCGGACCTCACTGTGACGTCTGCGCTCCTGGTTACTACGGAGACGCCATTGGTGCCAAAAACTGCACCAGTGAGTTCAGCTTCAGCCTTGACACAGGAAGAACTTCATGACCTGTTAATATTAAGTTGATCAGAGTAGGCTGTTCAGTTTTGCAGAACTAGCTTCAATTCAGTAAACAAACATGCATGGTACAAAATTGCCTATAAAGTTGGAATAATTTTTGTTATCAGACACATTCCTCTTTTTATTTCTGTTTTTACACATCAGTAATCACTTCTGACCAGGTGCAATGATTACATAATGAGTCCCAGTTACCAGGTGAAACCAATTCTGACCTTAGGATCTGACTGAAGAGTGGGACGTCCTGCCCATTGACACCATCAACAACCTTGTGGACAGTATGCCAAGATGTCTTAACACGTTGATCTGTGTCAGAGGTGGCCATACTCAATATTAATCACTGAGTGACATTTAAAAGAGTAACATTGGACATTCTAATGCATGAAATCCCCTCGAATATGTGTTTCCTGTTAAAGGGACCAAGGTTGAAAAATTGAAACTCTTAACTCTTAATCCTACTGTTCAATACCCCCAATTCAGTTTAAGCCTAATACACAGTTTGCAAAAGTTAATTGTGGTTTAATTTTACTGTGATATGTATTGTATGTATCTTGTGATATCAATAAAGTTTTGAGAAGATATACACTTTATCTATCAAGAATAAATCACAATCATTTCATGAGAAGAGGTAAAAATAATAGTTTATTCCAACTTTATACGCAACACTGTATTATGAATGAAAGAATGTCATTATAAGGTTGCAAATCGCAGATTTTGATGGATGATATGTTGTGTTCTTGTTACACAGAATGCAGCTGTTCTCCCTGTGGAACTGAGTCATGTGACCCTCACACTGGACAGTGTCAATGTAAATCAGGAGTCACTGGAGCGCGCTGCGACCGCTGTGAGGTAAAAGCTGCTTCTACGTGACTTTAACTTTCTACCTTTTTTTTTTTTGGTCTTCGGTGTTGCACTGCCCTGAATCCTAATTGTATCAGTTGAATGTGGTTCAGCTATAATGACGACACATTGGAAAATTTGTTCCTTTGTTTTTTTGTTTGTTTATTTAATGCCAGCATTCAGTGTTTGGCTGCTGTATGGATTTGTGGGAATAATAAGCCAGGCAGCACATTTATTTCTATTTAAATCAGGATCTTTTAGTCTGTTTCACTTTAAACATGACAAGGACTTCTGTGGAGCTTAATGGCAATTAATATTGCATCAAGTATCACAAACATCATATGACAAACTTCTGTGTTTTGACAGAAGTTCTCTTTCACACAATCGTGTTAAAGTCGATCTGCTCTCAGAGAGCGCAGGCCTTCACAAAGGGTAAAACTCCATTAACCTATGATGTGCAATTTCACAACTGATACCAGATCTGCACCAAAATTAATCGGTTTTTACTTTGACCACGTTCCACCTCTCCACCAAGTCCTATTACAATTGGCCTGGTAGTTTGTGCATAATCCTGCTGGCAGACAGTTGCACAAACAAAAGATAATCAAAGAAGGAATTCAATTGTGTGTCAGTCAGTAGCTGTTGCCATCCACAGTCATGTTAATTTGGCAAAGAGATAATCCAAACCAAAATGTTGCAGCTCGCAAATTCAAACTGTATTTTATCTTATCCGGGGTGAATACCTGAATCTGCTGTTTTCCTCAGGATGGGTCCTTTGGCTTTGACTCGTGTTCTGGCTGTCGTCAGTGTGACTGTGATGCCTCGGCAGCTCTCGTCCAGCCGTGCGATCCTCAGAGTGGACAGTGCGCCTGCCAGCCTGGAGTCAACGGGCCAAACTGTAGACAGTGTGCTCCTGGTCACTGGGACTATGGACCCAACGGATGCAGGAGTGAGTGAATCCGTGAGACGGCACTTGTTGAACTAGAACGGCACTCTGACAGCATAGTCCTCTACCAAGGCCAATGCAGTATTGTGCAATTTGAAAGAGTGGTCCAGATCTGCACTGAAGTTGAATGAGTTCTGTTGCCTCTCCAAGTTTCATCATGCTTGGTAGCTTTTGTGCAAACTTGCTGACAGACAAACAAAAACCAGTGACAACATGCCTCCACCTCACCAAAGGTGCGAATAGTAGAGTGGTCCAAAAACTTCATACACACGTGCAAATTCATCTCTACATCCTTTCGTAACAGCTAACTTACTCTTTTTTTAAATTTGACATTTTAAAGTAGAGTAGGTTAATATGAATAATACAATATTTGATACATTTGACAGATACATAAAATGTGTTGGCACGTTTTTCTACTGTTGGAGGGTTTGACTGCAGCTGCTTCTACATGACAGCTTACTTGCCAGCAATCAAAAGTGCTGATACGTCGCTGATAATTTTTAATATATGCTGCACCCTAAGCTTTTCCAAGATTCAGCCCTGGTAAAATGTTGCAAAAGATCAATTAACTTGTATTCCAACAAACACACCAACATTGCGTTAGCAACAACAGCAGTAGTAGTAGTAACGGTTTCTGTTTCCAATCACAGAATACATAAATACATACATAAATAACAGTTAAATAATGTCTATAAATGTGCGTTGATATGCGAAAGGAGCCTTGTTATTGATGCAATGGCTGCTTTTGTTGAATCAAATGCAAAATGATGTAAAATGACCCCTCTGAACCCCAAAGCCCATCGCAGATTGAAAAGGCATGTTATCTTCACTACAACTACTGAAATGACTCCATTTATTAGAACTAAAAACTGTAACAACAGCCAGATTTTCAACTTTTCTGACAGTCATTGATTCCACTCATCTGAGATGTACTGCTCCAATGGAAAACTTAACTGTCATGGCTTTGTCAATGCTCCTGACCCACATGCAGAAGGACACTCAGGAGAAGAGGGTTTGAAATAAAGATTTTATTCACAGCGAACAAGGAATATGTGAAGAGGGTTATTCTGGCTGGGACGTCGACGAGGGTCTGGTGGGTGGCTGGGCGGGCAGGCCGTGCGGTGGTCAGTGCAGTGGGGGTGAATAGTTGAGGCGTACCGGTTGTGAGCAGGGTTGTCCAGAGACCAGCAGAGATAGCCTCAGGTTGGTACAGGCTGGTTGCGAATGAGCATTAGCTAGGAGCAGGTACTCGGGAAGAAAACCTTTGGAGAGGGAAAAAGTCAGTTATAAGCATGCACGGGAAGGAAACACACGAAATACTTCGAGGAGGCTTGATGTGTACCACTATGGTTAACACTCAGGCAGTGAGTGATCGGTGACTGCTCCTTTTGTCCTGGATTGACAAGCCTCACGAGCTGCAGCACACCTGCATTCCCTGCAGGTGTGTTGTGTACACACCTGCAGGGAATGAGCCCCAGAGCAGCACAAGATCCCCTAGGGCGCCCTCTGGTGGATGACCTGCCGGAGAAAACAAACAGCCCAGAGACCCGTTCCCTGACATTAACTAAACCTAACCTTAAAATTGTGATATTTTATCAAGATTACTTTAACCTACGTGTCTTCATTAACAATTGACAAAAATAAACAGTTTGGTCTATCAAGGTTCTGCAAAAAAAAAAAAAAAAACTGCATTTCTTGGATGAATTGTGAAACTATTATTGACTTGGCTGCAACCACCAGTCATGTTATAAAAAAAATCAGGGACTTCTGGCTGAACTGCAGACTGTGTTTACAGAAAGTCCATGCAAGACAAGTAGGGAGACAAATTTTACGGGTATGTATAGTTTAGTTTCCAGTGTAACACCTTCTTTTTAATATAATAAATAATGAAGCAAATTTAGATTTAGTTTTTTTTAATTATATGTGACATCATTACTTTGTTATACAGCACAGATTGCATTTCTAAATGCTCTTCTACCCATGGTTGTTTCCATAGAGCTGTAGATATTTCATATCTCTCTTTTAACTCCAGAGTGCGACTGCAGAGGAGGTCGCTGCGACCCCCGGACCGGAGAGTGCCGCTGTCCTGACGGGATGACGGGAAAACAGTGTGACACCTGTTCACAAAGATACAGTGTCCCTATAGAGAAGCACCAGGGCATGCACTGTGAAGGTAAGTGAAACACACATTTGTACACACACAGTGACAGCAAGTGGGGTTATAAATTTAAAATAAACCTAAAAGAAAGAAAAAAGGCCACCAGGCTTTCTTATAAATTGTTTTGTAAAGCAGTTCCTGGATAGTTCACCAGCCTGGGTTATGAGATTTGCTGCATGTCATCCACTGGCCTTCTCCTAGGAATGAATTGAAATGTGTTCATGTGTGTTTCCCCTTGTACAGTGTGTGACAGCTGCGTCGTCGTGCTGTTGGAGGATCTGGACAAAATGAACGAAAATTTCCGCTCAGTAGCCGATCAGCTGGGCAGCCTCAACGCCAGCTCTATGGCTTGGGCGCAGCTGCACAATCTCAACAAGTCTGTGGAGGACATGGCTGTGAGTTTATACACACAAAAAACAAATACAAACTGAAAGACTGCTGCGCTGTTGGTGCCGTCTAGTTAGCAGGTATGAGTTAAACTATCTTTCCATGATCCCAGCGTGCCATAGAGAACTACAACAGCACTCTGGATGAGAGCAGGAATCGGGCCGACATGCTGGATGCTGAGATCATGAATATCGACGACGACATTGATGAGCTGCAGAACAAGGTGAGAACACACACACATTTACATACTACATATAAATGCGCTGAGTGGTGTTTAATCCTTCACTGGAACAATCTAAGTCCCCTCCAACACCAAACTAAGATATTTATCCCTCTGAACTCCGAGCAGTTTCTGTGCATTTTCTTCTCCTGTCACATTTTCACACATTGTGGGCTCATTTTTCACAGCAATATAAAGTAATGCATCTCTATAGGAACAGCAGTTGATTCAGTTTTCTGCACATAATGCCCGACTAGTTGAAAATCTTACAATTCTTCCTGTTTTTACAGATTCTGGCTCTGATTCTTGCTCAACATTGTAGTTTCTATGTTTATTAGGCGAGAGAATACACTTGGAGCTGATAAATGCTTTAAACATCTTTATTGTAGAGATGTATGATTTAGCCATTGTGACAAATTCTTCTCAATATAGATTTCATCTTAAAATCAGTGGTAAGTTCACTCAAGCAATATACAGCAACATTTTTTGTTTTTATTTGGTTAAAAATGGTGAGAAACAGTTTCCAGTTTTCCGCTAACCTGTTATTACACTGTGTTCTTTGCCACAGCTAAATGAAATTAACTTTTTTGTGTATCTGAGAGTGTTACGTGTGTTATGTGTGTTTTCAGGTGGCAGCGATGACTGACAGGGTTGGTGACCTGCATAACAGTACCACGAACACACACCAGAGGGCAGAAGATCTGCTATCTTTTCTCAACAACATGACAAAGGATATAAATGGTAGCAAACACTGAATGTTTTTATATTCACATTTTTTAAATGTAATATTAGTATATGTATTAAAATGTCTTAAAGGAAAAGTTTAAGTGTGTTTTGTTTCTATGTCAAGTAAAAACAGCAGAACATCGAAAATACATCGTCTTGGATGGATAACTAGGATTAAAAACTTTTTTATTTTTTTTTTCAAAAACAAGCCTCCAGATCAAACTTTTCTACTGTAAAAATACTGGTTACGTTTTCCTTAAGTTGGATCATGATACAAATCCTTTAACAAAATAACTTAATTATAAAAATACAGTATCTTTACTGCAAGATGAGTTGTTATCTACACCTCTATAATTTTAATAATTTGCTGTTTGCTTTTATGTACACTTTCTTACTTCCTCATTCCACTAACACTACATTTGATTGATATGTTTTGTTTGTTTTTTTGTTTTTTTTTACAATGTTTTCGTTTTTCCATAGACATCATGCTGATGGCAAACCGCTCTGTACTGAATGACACTGAGGCGGAACAGGACGATGACGAGAGGGATACGAAGCTGAGGGAGGTGCAGGCCATGCTGAGGGAGATGAGGTACAGGAGCTGTGTGGGACAAAAGAAAATAGCCGACAAAGAGAAGACAGAGGCAGAAAAATGTAAGTTTATTTCCTTACAGAAACGTATTCATCCATAAAACACTGATGGACTTTTTTCTTCGAGTGTTAATGTCTCACAGGAGAGACAATAATGCAGTGGTGTATTGTGATCCCTAACGAATGCAAAATGACACAATTTTTCTGCACCAGGTCATACACTAAAAAAGTGCTCATGTCTCACATGTCTCACAACCTCTGTCCTCTGCTAGTGTTGGATCGCGTGAACAAGCAGTTGGCAGGTCGTCAAGGAGAGAACAATGACTTGGCAAAAACCATCAGAGATCGTCTGTCCCGTTTCCACTCTCAAATGATGGACCTTCGAGACGCTCTTAACGAAGCTGTGAACAACACTGCCAGAGCTGCAGAGATCAACAATGTCAATGAGAAAACCCTGGAGGACAATAATGTGAGTTTTGGGATGTCTTAATCAAGTATTTTTGCCCCTGATCCAAGCCATTTAACCCTATTCAGGACTTTCATGGTCTTTTGGGGTCCATGAACCCCAAAAAAGAATATGTGCAAAATATTTGTTGGTATTCAATGTAGACTTTTAGACTTTGTTACATACATTTTCTGATAAGTTGATGTATTTTTGGTTCCAAATGTATGACAAATGTCCCTCTTTTTATATTTGAAAAAAAGAAATCTTGAAAAAAAAAACAAAAAAAACCCAATGCCTCTCACCTTAACCAAATGGCCCAAAAGTCCTGAATAGGGTTAATACCAAGTCCCAGTCCAATTCTTTTTTTTTTTTTGAGCTAACCACATTTCACATGTTCAATTAATTTAAAGATATTCAGTGTATGTGCTTGGCAATTGAATAGCTCTGGCTTGCATTTTAAAAAATGTGTGTCAAAGGTGTTCCTTAATGTTACATAAATGATCATGATCATGATTGTAAAGCTCTATTATGACACTGTTTGAAATGCAGTGTGGCTCATGACTCCAAAAGAAAGTGAAAACCTGTATTCTCGACAAGCATGTCAGAAAATGTATTTTAGATTAACTATAGTGTCTGGTTCAGTCTTACTCTTTAATAAGTAGGGGGTAACTCAGACTATGGGCAGTCTAGTGTTGGCAAACAGAGAACATTGTGGGGGGTTTGGCTATCTTTGGGCCACCATGACAAAGACTTCTGTGACACTTGATGGCCTCCAGCCAAACGTTGTGTATTTACGTCAAGCTGGGATCAGCTAAGATATCATTCCTATATTGCAGTGGAGTATATAATGGACCCGCTTTGGGCCCATGTCATTTATCTGTTGACTCAATAAGCAATATCTGGACAGGAAACATATCTGCTGTGGTCAATTAGTTTTATCAAACAATCAGATATTGGTTGATTTAGAAAACCTAGAGTCCTGCAACAAATTGTGCTCACCCTTTACAACACCTTATGCAGATGTTAACAATAATCAGGCTTAGGTTTGTGCTGATACCGATCAATTAAAGAACACCTTGATCCGCCCTGACCTTCGAGATCAGATCAGGACATCCATAGTGAGTTTAGAAAAAGAATACATCTCCATGAAGCTTCTTGAAGGTGTGAACAAAAGTTATTCTGATATGTAACTACTCTGTCTTTCTTTCAGAGGAGAATACAAGACTTGCTGGCGAAGCAGAAGGAGGTGAACGACCAGCTGAGCATGGCTGAAGATGATGTCGCTCAAGTCAACGACGTGCTCTCCATGCTGCAAGACTCCAAGGAGGTCAGAGCAAACACAAAAGTCACAGATTTAAACTTGTAGTTCATATTCTGCAAAAATCTCTAGGAATCAGACACGGCAGTTTCTGCTTTTATCACACTGGGTGTTCAAAGGATCAACTATAGTATCAACACATTAATGACAATTTGCAAAGTAACTACGCGAGAAAAAATAATCTCTTAGCTTCACGCTCAGTTCTTAATGTCTTTCTTAGTATGCTGGGACTTTTTATTGTTGAATGTTTGAATCACATCTTGATTCCAACATCTGCTAATTAAAGTATTCACAACAGCTTGCAGCACATGTCGTGTCATTGCTGTTGGGGGAGTTGGTCGGTATATGCCATGAATAAAAGAGAGACACTTTTTTTTTTACAATTAAGTACGGATGTCCTGTGTACTTCAGATCAACAATGCAATTCTTTGTTATTTCTTGTTATTCAGCTTTTTGTGAGAGTGTCAGTGGAGGTACAGACAGGAACGACAGCAGGGTGACGACATGTAACTAAAGTCCCTGTCTGGAACTGAACAGCAGATACTGGAGTGCTGTGGTAAAGATTTTAACACTCTTGACTTCTTCCTCCTTATCACTTTAAATGCATGTTTTACAGGAGTATGAGCGTTTGGCAGCCCAGCTGGATGGCGCCAGGACACCTTTGGCACAGAAAGTGCAGAATTTTGCTTGGGCTGACTCCAAAATCCCCCTGGTGGAGCAGGCAGAGAAGCATGCTGAGATGCTGAATGCTTTAGCCATGAACTTGTCCAGGTAAGGGAGTAAATAATTACAACCATATATTTGGTTTGTCAAGGTGGTATAGAAGGCAGACAGACATGCAGGACAAAAAAAAATCTGCATGTCGTAATGTTGAAAGTTACTTAAGCAAACATTGAAGTTAATCCTGTGAGCCCTGAGCAGTTGCTGTGTGTTTTTTTGCTCCTGTCACATTTTTACTCACTGTAAACTAATTTTTTACAGCAATGTAAAGTCCTGCACCTCTCAGCACAACCATGGCTGGAACTCAAATGTGTCTTTTGCCAGAGCAGCCGCAACAGGCTGCATGTGCGGTGACACATGCACACTAGAAAAGAAAAGATAAAGATATGTAGAATAAAGGGATTTGGATTAAATTTCTCAATTTGAAGCTGTTTTTTTTTTGGCCAACAAAACCTAAAGTCAAACATGACGTCTTTAAGGATCATTGAAAAGTTGAAAATCAGGCAGTTCTTTCTATTTCTACAGTTTCTTCTATGATAAATGGTGTAATTTGGTGTAAATTTTCAAACTTGCTGGTGGGTTTTGAGGTTCAGAGTGTTATTTTATCATGAATAAAAAACATGATGAGTAGTTGCTAAATGCCTGTTTGTCTGCAGTTTGATTGCAGAAACCAAGAGTGAAGGATTAGTAGATGTAACACAAGCCTACAATAAGATTATCAACAGCATCAAGGAGGCAGAAGAGGCTGCCAAGATGGCTGACAAGGCTGCCAATGACACTGTGGAGGTACAGGACACACGCAAAGTATTTTTTCTTCCTCTGTGAGCACATACATGCACAAACTTAAACTACTCAAAAAACAGCTTCAAATGATTTATGTGTTTGTGTCTGGTCTGTGATATTGTGTGTTTTTAGAACATAAAAGACCAGGACCTTGGTCACATTGCTAATTCTCTGAAGAACCACAGTTTAGAGCTGAAAGATGAAGTCGAAAAGCTTGATGATGAGCTGAACAACGGTAAACGCACATCTTTGCATAAGTATTTTCATTTTAGTGATCTGTATGACATATGTCAGGAAATCAAGATAAAGCAGAGACTTGAGTTTGGAGCGCTTATAAGGTAAATTTGTTTTTTACTGCACAGACCTGAAGCCAAGTGTGGAAGATGCTAAGAAACGACTGGATGACGCCAAAACCAAACAGGTTCAAGTGATGAAGGATCTGGAAGCAATTCAGAATAACCTCAACTCCACCACAAGTACGCATGTTCAACACACACAGAAGCCACATTAAAAAGGCAGAATTACTTTAAATTTCAAAGAAGGAAGCCTTGGATGTCCTCAGAATTCATTGTAATCCTAAATTCACAGCAAGAATCAAGTTAGGAAAGCTAAAAAAATAAGAAAAGGCTTGTTTTTGGTGATTTCTGTCTTTTTCTGTTCTGAACAGATGTGACTCAGGAGATTGATGAAGCAAAGCGGGTGGCGGATCTGGCGAATACCACGGCCACCCAAGTCAACGACGCCTTACGTCCAATTAAAGAGCAGCTGGACCAATGGCAGCAGGCGTACAGAGACGCCAATGCCACCAACGAAGACATCAACAACGCCCTGATGGATGCCAACAACACGGGTGGGAGTTTCTGAATGTATCACAACAAAACGACCTACAGTTTGATTTATGTCTGTCAGTGTTCACTCCTGTTTATTATGTCTTTCAATAATAAAATAGCAATGTCGTATGCTTACTTCATTTGCCTTTAGAAGCCTGTTTTGTCTTTAGGATGAGTTCCCAAGTAATTTCATCAAATAAATCCATCACTTGTGCTCAATTATGCAAGATGCAATCACAAAATTACATCTGTACTTGATTTAAGTTGAGCAGCAATATTCCCAGTGCTTCTGCCAACACCTGTAATGATCTGATCTTGGACAATGAAATGTCATGGGCTTTTTTCACAATCTTCTCAGTCAAGGAAACAATCATCAGATTATTAAATGATGAATGAGTTACTGAGTGAGTTGCAGCCCAAATGAAACACAAAAAAGATGTTCTAGTTTTCACTATAACATAAACATTCAAAACAAAAGCTATATCGTTATTTGAGATATATGAATCACTAAATTTGCTCTCTGTGTGTCTTTGTAGTACACAAGCTGGGTGAAGCTATTCCTACGCTCATGAAGAAACTGGATGAACTGCAGAATCACTCCGCCCAGATGCCAAACATCTCTGAGAACATCAACCGCATCCGACAGCTCATACAGCAGGCGCGCAACGCTGCCAGCAAGGTACACAGCTATAGTCATACCTTCATCAGCTCAGAAGACACTGCATTGAGTGGCATCAATAGCTTAGAGGCTTACCTTAGTTAAAACCACGAGTTACCCAACTCAAACCCTAACCTTAGACCAAGCCTTCATGCTGAAACTGATTTAAATTTGGACAGCAAAGTAGACAACTGCTACACATCTGAGGGTGCTGATGCAACACATCGAAGGAAACCAAGAGGTTCTTGTAATTTAAACTATTTAAAGATGCAGTTACGGCAGCAAGTGCAATCAATGCCTCTGCCAAAGCACTAAGAAACAACCAATTACAAAACTGAGATGTGAAGCCTAAGAATAATCCACTAAGTGAAAACATCTCAACCAGAATGGTCTTCTTACATTAGCAAACGTCCGGGATTCAACTCACTAAAATCATTACTCCAAAAAACATCAATACATAAATACCCATGTCAGCTGCTGCATCATTTTAAATTTGTTGTACTAGCTCTTCCTTGTTTTCTCTGTCATTACTGCAGTTCTCATTTAAATATTTCTGAAATCTAGATTTTAAAATGTCATCTGCAGGCTGACCTTTCGATTGACACCTACCTCAGACTAATGTGAGCTTCTGTGTTGTGTCCTTACACTGCAATAGTTAGAGAGCCCATGTTGAAAAGAAGTGCCTGCACCTTTTAAGCACGTAAAGATGCAGCCAGTTGCAACTGACTTTGCTGATGACTGCCAATGAAGAGACAATGAAATATTGCTTCGGTGGGACTGGTCTGTGTGCAAAAGACAAAAAGTGGCATGTTGAGGCAGGTCATGAGGCTACATTGGCCAAGAACCTGTAAAAGATGTAAATATGTAAAAGTTATTAATTTTCTGTGGGTTCTCATACATACAAATAAGTCTCCAAATTGCCTTTTCTGGAAAAGCCTTTGAAAAACCTGTAAAATCTTCATTTTCTGTGTAACTGTTTTAAAATTTGAACATTGACTAAGTAAGGCTTCATGCTGTGTCCCATTGTGTTTTGCAACTAATAGCTGCAAACTGCTGTTACCCCACATCGTTCGAGAGCATGTTGTGATTTACTTTGGCTGTACCTTGGACAGGCCTCTTCGTCTACTTTTACAGGAATGGTAGGGTGTTTTAGCAACATCTGCAGTCTGTAATGTTTTTTCTTGCCATTTCTCCTCCTTTTTCCCCCGTCCAGGTAAGCGTGCCGGTGAAGTTTAACGGATCGTCCAGTGTTCAGGTTCGTACTCCATCTAACCTGGCCGACCTGGCTGCCTACACATCCCTGAAGTTCTACATCACCCTGCCGGACACAACGCGGGCCAGACGGCAGGACGATGCCACCAAACAGTTTGTCTTCTACCTCGGCAACAAAGACGTAAGCAATCCCCACGGCAACATAGAGGGGCGGTTTGTGTTGGGTTTACTCATTAATTCTCTTTTTGTATTAGTCTCAGTGTGTGTTAGGTGTCTTTTTTGCAGTTTTTTTAAGAACTCTGTGTCACAGTGAACATCATTGCACATCTGTTTTGTACAAAATGACAAACATCCACTCAGAAGCTCCTGTGCTCCTGGTTTTGAAATTCATTACTTTGTCTGTGGTATTTGTAGTCCAATAAAGAGTTCCTGGGCATGGCGCTGGAGGGGAAAAGACTACGTTGGTACTTTAACGTTGGAGGAGAGACTGCTCAGGTGATGATGGAAGAAGATGTCAAGGCTGATGGAAAATTCAATAGTCTAGTACTGGAGAGGTAAAGCACACAAACACACACTGAAACTGCACATCTGTGACATGCAGTTCAGCCCAAACACTTAACCAAGTCCAAGCCTCAAGTCATGATATTTTAACAAATTCGTTTTAGTCTAGATGTCTTTTTTTTTTTTTTTTTAAATCCCCAAAATGACCTGTTTGTACTAGATTCTGTAGACTCTGGGGTTAAAAAGAACCTGATAAATGTATCCGGCAGGTTTCAGACTGACACAGTGATGGCATTAGATTCATTCTGTTGTTAAATGTTCAATATTGCAATACAAACCGTACTTCAAATGAATGGATTTTGTCCACTAAAACATGAAGGCCTTAAATTTGAAATGGTTTCAGCAAGTGTTGAGTTTGCATTAACAACATAATGCAGTAACTTTACCAGGGTGAACAAGAACAGAGCAAAATGAGGCTTTGTAGTATGAACAAGTACACTGGTTAAACAGAGGGCATTAAAGATAAAGGCCTGGTGCCTTCTGCAGACCAGGCAAATAACAGCCCTGGTCATTATTTGAGAAATATACTGTCTTTCAAACACCTGTGTGCTGACTACAGTTTGTCTTCGGCTTTGTGGCTGCTTGAATGTATTTGATTATGCCAAAACTGTGCTGCTTTATGTAGCTTAAATCTGTTTCTCGTGCTGTATTTACAGTATCTGTGTCTGTCTGTGTGAACACAGGATCCTCCAGTATGGTCAGATGTCCATGTCTTCAGAAGCCACAGATGGAGAACGAGTGACCAAAGCTAATGTGGAGGCTAAAGGAGATCAGGGGCTGCTCAACCTCTTAACCAACGACACCGTCTTCTACGTGGGAGGATACCCAAGCACTTTCACAGTAAGCGCTGCAAGGGCTGTTTTTACCATCAGTAAAAACTTATATACATATTAGTCTCTCTGCCTGTACTGTCTTGACTCTGTGTGAGTATGCAGGGCCTGTAATTTACAATAATGCTCGATATAATTGTATGGAGAATCAACATGATGTACATGTTAATTGTAGTCGTTGTTGTGGTATTGGTTTTTTTTTTTCATTTTTTTGGTAAAACAGACATTTTTTGCTTTTTTTTTATTAACTAGAATTTTGTTATATTGCGCAAAGACTTCTACCAATGGGTGTGCTGTTTCCATATATATTTGTGATTATTATTAATTAACTGATTTCCTTTTTTTAGCCACCCTCTGCACTCAAACTGGCTAACTTTAAGGGCTGCATCGAGCTAGACACGCTGAACGAGGAGGTCCTCAGTCTGTATAACTTTGAGAACATCTTCCAACTCAATACCACAGATGAGAAACCCTGTGGCAGGTGTGTCATTTCTTTTCTCTTTTTGAAAGTTCCTCTGGCTTTCTTTGTTGTCTCAGATTTCTTAGCAGGATCCCATCATTTCCATCTGTTTTTTTTTTTTTTTTCAGTGTGATTTCTAATTGAATGAATATGCTGTCAACAGGTCCAAACCAGTGCTGACTTCAGCCTGGGTGAATGACGCGGCTTATTTTGACGGTACTGGTTTCGCTGAGATCACCATTTCGGATGATCGGAGTCAAGTACAGCGCTTTGAACAAGAAGTGAAACTGCTCTCACACAATGGAATCCTGCTGCTGCTGCACAGTGAGGTAAAAAGCTTCACTTGTTCATCCAATAAATTCCTCAATCTAATGTTTATTTATAGTACGGGCATTTTATGAGATTTTTTCACAAATCTGCCAACTAAATCGTTACCAAACAATTTCTCTTCAATATGTTTGTAAACGTGTGTAATAACATGCTTTAAAATGTTGACGTTCAACTCCCATGGGAAACCCTGAAGAAAACCTGCTCAAGTTGGGTTACCAATAAATGATTGTAGAAAAATAGATTTTTAAAAAATCGGGCCTTAAGTCACTTATGAGGGTCAAGGAGTTCCCAGGCCAGTTGAGATATGTAATACCTACAGCTGACGTGGTTCGGACTTCTGATTTGGACACCTCCTGGGCAGCCGGGAGGAGTCTTTAGTCTTGAGTATCAATTCAGTCACAACTTCAAATTTTACATCATAATCCAGCTGTTATTGTAACTGACTACTGAAATAGCCTATAAAGCAGCTCTGAGTTTTCGTCATGTTTTTCCTCCAGCAGAATAAGTTCCTGTGCCTGGCAGTGCTTCAGGGCAGACTCAAGGTTTTCTATGACTTCAGTGATTCTCTGGTGGAGCTCGATGCCAAAGTGACGTCGCCAGAGGAACTGAAGGTCACTGATGCTGAAGCCAAAACTGTAAGCTCATCATGTCGCCTTGTATTTTATATACTTAAATTTAAAGGATCCTCATGCTCTGATTCCTTATTTTGGCACCTTCCACCACTTTACCAGATTAGTTTGTTGTATTTTTGTTATCGTCATTAGTCAAATGCAGCATTTGTTTTGAGTTGAGTATGTATAACTAAAACAGTATTTTGTATCCTTAGTTATCATTTAGACTATAGAAGTACAAATGTTAACTTGTGTTTCCTGACATCTGGCATGTTTCTGTCTAGCTTGAGGTTATCGTCATACGTTCAGCCACGAGCCGTATCGTGGTGAGGAAAAACCGCGTCACCCTCTACACGCACCCGTTCTCAGACAGCATCCCTTCATTCAGCAGCAGCTACTATTTGGGTGGAGTACCAGAGCAAAAGATGCCCGAGAAGTGCGTCAAAGTTTTGTATTTATTATACCTCCCTTCGAAAAAGTAATTTCCTATTTGTAGAATCCAGTTTTTTAGTTTGTTGTTCATATCACTGATTATTTATTGTAAGTATTAAAACCAGTTCTTCAGAAGGGTTTTGGTAATGTCGGAGATGCTCTGCAGCACATCTTTCTGCTTCTTCTAGCTCAGTGATTTCATGGCACGTGCCTTGTGTTGGTACACTCTCGTGTACATTTTCAGGCAAACAGCAGACTAAAGTGAGTTAATCAGCTAATGAAGATAGTATTTTTTGGCTAATTTGTAAAATGTTATTTGATATCACTCCTAATTAGGTCAAAGAAACAAAAGAAAAAACAGAAACCAGCACAGATGTAAATTCCTAAATCATTTTTGAGACTTAGAGTATGTTGTTTAAAGAGTTCTGTCAGGTAGATTCATACTGTCTTTGTCTCCTTTCAGGTTGAAGACTATGTTTTCTAAGCAGGGCTCTGTGAAGGGCTGTTTCAGGAATGTCAAGGCTCTGAACTCCCATGTCGACTTGAAGAGGATGACGAGCTCTGGAGTCAGTTTCGGCTGTGACAGTGACCTGTTGGTAAGAAAACACAGTTTACCTATTAACAGGGAGTAAAGGAGTCATGCAATTTTTCTGTATTTTTACATTTGATATTTAGGGCTTATTGATGACCAGAGCTGGTATTCACTGCTTCTATTTAAAACTGCATAGATTTGACACACTGCAGTATAATTAGCTGATGTAAAAATATATATTCCCAGAAAAGCTCAATGAATGTAGTAGTCATACACGGGATGTTTGTATTAAGTGTGAAAAGGAAAAGGATAAACTTTACTAATGTCTTCTGTTGTGTCACAAGAAAAAGAAAAAGTTCTAGAAAGATGTCAGATGGTGTATCAAGGACATTAAAGCACATCTGGATCCAAAATGATTATATTTCATGAGGTTTTATATCCAGGTAATCATAGCATAAGTTGTCCCCTTAGGAGTTATTGATTGCTCGATTGTGGAATGTAATTCAATATATTGTATATGCATGTGTTTGCTGTGTAACTAAATATACAACTACAGACAGTAACATCCAAAAATGCGACCCGTGTGTTTGTGCAGGTGGCTCGTGAAGCTCATTTCACCGGTCAGAGCTACCTGGACCTCGGGGCTCTGACAAACATCCCCAGCCTCAGGAGCAACTTCTCCGCCAGCTTCAGCTTCAGAACCGATAAGACGGATGGACTCATGTTCTACCACCGCGACAAAGTAGGAACAAAGTCTAATGCTGGAGCTTCTGTGCAAAACGCTGATGTACATCCCTGCATGTATATGGAGGCTGTACAGTGAACTAAAATATAAATGCAGCGTGCAAATTGTCTTGTTTTCTGACTTAGAGAAAAGGTGAAAGTTATTGTGGTCAGAAAAGGGTTAAATGTAGCCAGTTGTGAGCTGTTTAACTGGTGATGGATTCTTAACCACTGAGTCAATCCACAGCCCGATCAGGTGTGACTTTGAAGGACAATGAGTGTACTTTGTGTTACATGACGTCCATTCTGTTGTAGACGTGCTGTAAGATGGAATAACAAATCCACATTCCACTATGATAAATAGAAAAGACAATTTATTATATTTTATAAATTACATACTGCATTTCTATTTTTGTTCAGCAATTTTCTACATAATCAATTCTCAAAAAGCTTTACAGTATTTCTCATTTACGCAACCAGACATCCTGTCAGCATTAATTAATGAGCCAAACTGATTAAAAGGCTAACCTCTAACCAACAACTACCCTTGTTTTTTCTTTGCTTGATAAGTTTTACTGTTTTCCTGTTTTCTACTGGCCTGCTTTGGTCTCTGGGACTTTAAAGTAGGGCTGATATGATCATGAAATTTTGGTTTGCGATTAGCTGAAATATAAGTATGTGTAATTAATGATTTAATTGTATTCTTGGGTTTGTTTTGTGTCTCTATAATTCTTAGATTAGTGTTATTAGCACTTTTGAGCGTCCTCTTTTTGCTGCAAACCTAACAAATCCCATACTTGTTTTTTTTTTATTTGGCGGAAAACCTAAATGTGCTGTGTTGTCTCGTTGCAAATAAATCCATGACTTTAATGTCAATAGATGCTCATCAAAATGCAGCCAGTCGAGTCTGACGATTATGAAACAATCCAGTATCATCTTGTGTCTTGCAAACACTGATCCTGGTGTGTTGTGGCTGCAGGAGGGTGAGTGTAAGGTGTTGTTGCTTGACGGCCACGTCGTGGTGAGAGCCGGCAACAGTGAGATTAAGACGCAGAAGACGTACAACGACGACAACAGTCACTACATCACTATCTACAACAACATCAACGGGTAGGGCGGCTGATGTCAAGTGATCACAATGCCAACAGAGCAACTGGTGCCCAGCTTTGTTTACTGACTTTGTTTACTACTTATTCCTCAGGCTGCGTCTGTACATGGATGATGTGCTGGAGAAAGCCAGGCAGGGAACCCCAAGGGGGCGCCAAGTGACATCGTCACAGCCGATAACCTTTCTGGGAGGAACGCCAGACCAAGGCCTCACCAACCTCACCGGATGTATCAGTAATGTTTTCATCAAGAGGTTAGAAAAACTTAAAAACAATATTATATACTGAATTATATTAGGTATTTTACAAAGTTTCCCAGTTTTCTTAATTTCACATATTACAGATATGTAGTTAAATCAAAGAAAAGTATTCATTTACATGGTTTTTGCAGGACTGTTGGAAAAACAAACACTTCATATATATATATATGGTCATTTGTTCTTCTACAATGTCTGACTATAAAATTAAACAATAGGATTGTATTTAAATCAGCAAAAAATGTCATTATGTCATTACACACATATTTGCAGGTTGTTTTTTTTTTATACCATTTTACAGTTTTTACATGTTACAGTACTCGGTACCAGTTTTTTTTTGTTTGTTTGTTGTTGTTTTTTGCAGTCATTGGCACTCTTGCTGCCAGATATTTAAGGTAGTTTTTCACAGTTTCACAGTTCTGCATTAAGCAGAGATGCTCCTGTCTGGTTTTGCTAGTTTAACAAGCTGAAAAAATGAATAAGAATGCTGTGAATCCTGTATTTGGCATTTTTCATTAGATAACTGCTAAATAGACCGAAGCAACTTAGAGCGAAGAGGTTATAGATGCAAATTAAACCGAGATGGATGAATGTTACCTCCCCTGACCGCATGTCACTGGCTTCAACATAGACACAGGCAGCAATATACATATTCATGCACACAGTCCTCGTTAAAAGCTAAACAAAACATGGATGCATTTTAACGTGTGTGTGTTTCTTTTTTTTCAGGGAAACAAGTCCTCAGATGGTTTTGAACCTGCTGAAGGCTCGAGAAAACGTGAACGTTCCGTTGGACTGTCCAGCTGCTAAAAAACCTCAGCAGATCATTGCTCCCCAGCTGAAACACAACAAACCAAAGGTACACACTCACACTCAGACACATAGCAAATTCTGCTTTTCCATTGAATAAAAACCTGATAGTAAACTTAAGGTTCTCTCTCTGTGTCAGGGAAAGCACAAGAAGCCATCAGGATCTCGCAGTCGTAACACCAGGGAGTCCTGTCAGGGCGAACTGTCTGACCACGAGAGCGGAGCAACACACTTCAGCGGCTCCACACACAGCTACCAGATGTACAACTCTCTGCCCAGCTCACTCAGCCCAATGTGAGTGTGAACACAAACTGCTAATTCCCAATCCTATGTTTTCCTCAGGAAGTAGCGGGAACAAAACGAGAGCTTAACAGTGAGTGAATATTGGATTGAAACACAACTTCAGTGGGAGGATCGATTTGTTTTCAGTTTATGTAGCACCTATTCACAACATGAGTCATCTCCAGGCACTTCACATAGTAAGATAAAGACTTTACTAATTATACAGAGAAATCCAGAAATACCTGCAGAGTGGAAAAAACAGACACGAAGAAGACACGAAGTTAGTGGTATGTGATGACAAATAGCCATATGAAGAGTAAGAGGAGAGTCGAAGAGAGGTGTTCAGTGCATCATGGGAAGTCCCTCAGCAATCTCAGCATATAGAAGCATGAGTTGGGGATGCTTTAGGGCAGGGGCCGGCAATCTTAAACACTCAAAGAGCCATTTGGACCTGTTTCCCATGGAAAAGAAAACACTGGGAGCCACAAAACCTTTTTGACATCTAAAATGAAGATAACACTGCATATATTGTTTTTTACCTTTATGCTATGTATAAAAAAAACCCATAGTGTCTTGCATTTGTGAAATCACTGCTACAGAGAAAGCAAAATTTTATCTCTGCATGCAACAAAAACATTTTGAAAAAAAAGACACTGGGTTGAAGGTTACTTTCAAATAAAATACTCAGTGTCTATTTGAGTCCTCCTCGTATATATGAAATAAAAAGTCAAACTTAAATTATCCAACTGCAGCAAAGTAAAAATGACGTCTGGTTGTCCTGCTGACTGCAGCTGGGACTGCTGACCAGACTCCTGACCGCCTGTGAGCGCTTTGGGATGGGAGGAGCTCACAGCAGCACTGCTGGTGGCTGAGGACTAACTGCAGAAAAATATGTGTTTTCACATCAGAGTCTCCAAAACACCAGAAAAGTCTCCATTAACACCAGAAAGAGTCACTAGATTTGTCACTAGTTGCTTTTGAAAAAACAAAAAAAAAGTTGCCAGGAGGACTTGGAAAGTCGCCAGATTTAGCAAAAAAGTCACCAAGTTGGCAACACTGCGCATGCCAGTGGGTGTCGCACATCGGCGGTTGTGACGCATATTTTCACCATAATATTCAAATTCAAGATAACATTTTAAAAACTAACAAACTAAAATAAAATATATTTCAATTAAATACTCACTATTTATTTTCCAAAGCCACAAGGAGCCGCAGCAGAGGTATGAAAGAGCCTCATGTGGCTCCGACGCCATGGGATGCCGACCCCTGCTTTAGGGTCACCTAAGACAGCTCCACCTGTAAGCTTTTTAAAAGAGGAAAGTTTTAAGCTTAATCTTAAAAGTAGCGAAGAGGTCTTCCTCCTGTGCTCAAACTGGGAGCTGATTCTGCTTGTGAGGTTTTTCTCTGTCCCAGTATCCCAAAAAGTAAACTAATCCAGTTCATCTGTCTGTCTGCAGGCCGCACATCTCCATAGCGGTGAGGATCAACTCCTCTGATGGTTTACTGCTGTACGCAGTCGACGGACAGCGTGGTGAAGCCGCAATGTCGCTCAGCGTCTCACAAGGCCACCTGCTGCTTCTGTTGGACGGAGGGAAGAGGAAGGCCAGCCTGCGTAGCCACAAGAAGTACAACGACGACCAGTGGCACACGGTGAGGTCACATGCACAGAGCAGGTTTCTACCGGTGTTCTGCTGCAGTGATGCTGTGGCTTACATGTCAACTAACTGAATCCTGAAACACAAGAAACTACCAAGAAGTGTTATTTGCTTTGTTGCACTAAACGACTCACCTTCTGAACCTTCTAACAGCCCCTATCTTTATGTCACTCCAGGTCTTTATAAAGCGTGAACGGGAGAAGATCAGTCTGATAGTGGACGGTATCAACCCTAAGTCTAAGAGAATGCCTGGAGGAGACAGGACTCGTCTCACTGGGCCTTTATACGTTGGAGGAGTCCCACCCTCACTGGCGGTGAGCACATTTGTACCGACAGTACTTTTGCTGTATTTATGGATATTAATGAATAATTGTTATTCAACTAACTGCTGTGAATAATTTGATGAAGACACAAAAAAGAAATGATCCAGAAATGCCCCAGAAATTCAAATTTACTACTAAACAAAAACCTGGCTTTATCTCAAATCTCTTCTTGTCTGTATTGTGATGAATTTTAGGCCCCGGGTGCTGGTGGTTTCATTGGTTGTGTCAGGGAACTGACGCTGAACGAAGCCCCTGCAGGAAGCCCTGCTCATAGCCAGGGGACGGTGCCCTGTTTCCAAAACCCTCTACAGCCTGGAGTGTACTTCTCCGCACAGGGAGGACGCATCGCAATAGGTGGTTACTGTCACTCTTCTCATATTTCAACTGAGCTTGGGCTTCTTGTTTGAGCCTTGCTGTGTTGTTACGCCCTGAGTGACAGCTCTCTTCCTTTCTGCAGATGAGTCCTTGGTTCTTGGACGGGATCTAGAGATCCAGTTGGATGTTCGGCCAGTCTCGGACTCTGGGCTGCTGTTGCATGCTGGGACCTCACATGACCTACATCTGAGCTTGGTTCTCAGCCAGGGAGAGGTGAGATGACGGCTCTGAGGGGTTGTATTTATTTTCTCTGGAGACCTCTCTCTCTCTCTCTCTCTCTCTCTCTCTCTCTCGTCTA